TGGATGTGGTTCAAATTCTGCAGGTACTCATCTAACTGTGCAAGTTTTCTTTCCCAAATTGATACTTTATCTTCAAATCCTTTGTAATACGGAGAATCTTTTAAGGACTGAAGGAGGCATCTATTATCTCCAACCTGGTTCACTATATCTTTCCAGTCTTTAATCAGCTTGATAGTTCGGTTCTGGCTGTCTTCATAATCAATCAGCGAGAACTCTGCTCCAACTCCCCATAGATCAAGCTCACGCAAAGCCTCTCTAATGGTGACTTCCCCTTGTGCCCGACTATTTAAATCCTATTAACACAAAAGATTTATACTTGTTATTTCAAAATTAATTATCCCATAAAGAAATGGTAAGAAATATACTTTAGGAGTGTGGTGGTCCACACATGCTTATAACCCTTGCCCTTGGGAAGTAGGGGCATGTCTTCTTCAACAGCACAGTGTAAGGCTAGCCTGAATTGTACGAGGCTATCTCAATCTATACTGTAACAAAACACAACAAACTATATACATACATATAAATATATATCCATGGTTCTTTTAAAAGGCCAATATTTGGTAGAATAGAACAATCAGAATATTATGGAACCCTTAATAGAAATTCTTTTGTTTCTATGTAGTTAACAACTATAGTTACTTTGTGTAGGAATTATGTTTAACCATGCAGATTAACAAGCATATTCTAGGATTATTAACAAACATAAAACTCTATACTTTTATAGGAAATAATGAAGCATCAAAAGCTTCCTATTTTATCATGAATGGTCAAAACATAACACACAGTTCCTGAGAGAACTGTGCAGTTTTGTTTTCCATGAGATGCTTTCCAGCCTGGTTGATAACCAGCTGGTCACTAGTTTCCCTGAGGGGCCTCCTGTCCTCTACCTTCTGCTCACAGAGTTCCATACAACTATTAATGCACTGCATGTGAAATGACTCTTATCTGCTAATACTTCTCGTGCAGCTGACTTACTTCTCTAAAGAAGAATTAGCAGTTCACATTTTTCCTTCTCTAGGGAGCAGCCTCTGCCAGTGTCTCTATCGCCTCATCTAACAAGTCCAAACAGAAATGATGCATTACCAACTATAAATAATGGAACAACAGAACATGGTTGCTACTTTACAGGAAGAAAGAACAGGTGCTAAAGAACAGATTAGCCGAGCACAATCCTCACTTTAAGGTCTGATGCTTTCTCCACAATTGTATCAGCGACTCTGAGTAGGTCACCAAAAACCAGTTTCTCTAGACTAGTCCCTCGAGGAAGGCCAAGTAGACGAAAAAGGTCAAGCCAGTGGTCTGGAGAAAGATGCTCCCCTCTCACGTATTTCAGGATAGGAATAATAATCTTTTAAAAAGAAAAAGAAAGTAAAAAACAGACTTACATTTATGTTCATTTCCTTGCAAAATACATGTTATTTACTTTTATCTTAATCCATAAAATTTTAATTATTATTTAATAATCTTGCAATCAAAGTCAATTAAATAAAGTTATTTATTAAATATTACTGTAAATACCTACATATTTCATTTGTAGTTTAATGCATTTTAAAACATGACAGAACACAGCCCTGCTTTCTGGGATACATAAACACTGCAACAGAATAAAGAAAGCAACCTTACTTTGTATCTGTCAACTTCTGACTGCAACTTCACTGTCATGACTGAATGTTCTTCAACCTTCCTTAATCTCTCATGCCAATTAATCAAAAATTCCTCAAACAGATAGATTTTAGTCCTGTAAAAGAACATGAAAACTTTAATTAGAGTTCATGCTCCATCCAAAAATGAGCAAATTATAAGAACACAAATATTGCTTTAGAATCAAACCGGTAAGTAATCCAATCTTCTTTGGCCATCTCCTGGAGTCCTTGCTGGAACTCCTCATAAAGAGCCCAAATCTGTGCACAGCTCTCAATGTCCTTAGAGATGCTATATGCCAGAGAGAAGTTAGGCTCTTCTAGTCCAAAATGATGGCAGTCGTCACTACAAAGATAAAAATCAAAATACTGGATTAAAAAGAAAAACTGTCAGTTATCTATTTACTTAGCCATATTCTGCAGCTGAAATATGCAGAGGCAATACTGACTTTATGTGAGAATTTTCCTTCACTCATGCTATGAGCACTTCTTTAAAGGTATCATGTAAATACAGTGCATGTCAAGATATCTGTATGTTTATAATGTCTTTGTAAAAGTTTGCTTTGTACATCTATGGACTGATCTGACAAAGCATCTTATCTTAACCTCGTTGCTATAGTACCACTTAAAGGGTTGATAGAAAAGGTCTACTCATTCACCTTAGGCTACACTAGCCCACACAGACCCCACATAAAAGCACTGCACAAATCTAACACTTGTGGTGACCATTAAGATAAGTCAGAAACATTTTTCCTATATGTCTTATTATTTGTTTTACTAGATGCTTATGTGTTTATACGTGCGTGTATCTGTGTGTGTGTTTGTGTGTGTGTGTGTGTGTGTGTGTTATGTGTGTGTTTACATTGTGTTATGAATGTGTTGTGCAAACACATGTGCATGGTGTGGTGTGTGTGTGTGTGTGTGTGTATGTATGTGTGTATGTGTGCACGTGCCCCTGAATGGGATGCTAAACATCCTCTTCTACCACTCTCTATTCTTCTGAGAAAGGGCTTCTCACTGAACCTGGAGCTGATGTTTTTTGGACAGGCTAGCCAGTCAGCCAATCTAAGCATCATCCCATTTATGTGATTCAAGCATTGAGGCTACAAATGCAGAGGTCACACCTCATCTCTGTGGAAGAAGCTAAAGATTCAAACATATTCCCATGCTTGCACAACAAGTGTTCATTTTCCCAACACCCAAATTCATTTTTGAAAGAGGCATTAACAGTATTTTTCTTAAAATTAAATATTCCATTTCTAAATAGGATGAATTAAAAACAATAAATACTACAACCTCTTAATTTAACCTATAAACTAATTTAATGTTCTAATCTCTCTGGAGTCCTTTTTTGGAGTGTATCTATATGTCCTTACATAGCTCCACCACAGCTCCTAAGAATGCAGTGGTATAATGGGTTGCATGTAGTCTTCATTTTTTGAAAGTTTATAAAGACAGGTATTAGACAACAGTTATTATCATAGCTAAGAAACCTAGTACAATGGCATTAAATGTTTTTTCAAAATAAACATCATGAAATGCAAACTCACACTAGCTTTTTTCTTATGACTTCCAGATCATCAAACTCAATTTTTTTCTCCTTTATAGACTTTGCACTTTGGTCCATGGTATTTTGTTGGCCAGTTTCAATAATATCATCCCCAGGTTTCAGCTGGTCCCAGCGAGCCTTGAACTTGTCCAGCTCTTGGTAATAGATCTGAAGGCGAGACTTCACATTTCCCTTCATCACTTCGATCTGTAAGCCAGGGACAAAGCATTTAGCACAGAGCAAGCTCATGGGTTTCACAACATTTTCAGCATTTTTGTTGAAAAGTGAGAAAAATGTCAACACCGAAAGACTTTTTTATCTAATCTAGTAATGAAAAATTATAATAGAACTTTACAATAATGAGGAATAAGTGTCAACTGTAAACATTAAACAACTCTTGTAGTTCACAGCACACCTACAATTATCAACAAAAGTTTTGCCATTTTAAAAACTGAAGGGATGGCTGCTCTTCCTGAGAACTTGGGAATCCCAGCCCCGACATGGTAGCTCACAATGGTCTATAACTTCAGTTCCATTAGATCCAACATCCTCTCTGGGCCTCTAGGAGCAGCAGGCACAGACATGCATACAGGCAAAGCATCTATACACATAAAATAAAAACTAAAATTGAAATTGAAAAGTTTTCAAAGACTGCTGTTGTTCTGCCTAACTGTATTTTTAACTAAGGAAACGATTTCTCAGTATCTTTTGCAGCTGTGAGCAATTAATCTTATTAATTAGTCAATAAGATATGGAGCACAGACAAATGTATGCAACACCAGGTAGACGTGTGTAACCACAGGCAGATGTGTGCAATCCCAGGCAGATGTGTGCAACCCTAGGTATATGTGTGCAACCCTAGTTACATGTGTGCAATCCCAGGTATATGTGTGCAACCCCAGGTATATGTGTGCAACCCCAGTTACATGTGTGCAACCCCAGGTATATGTGTGCAACCCCAGGCAGATGTGTGCAACCTCAGGTCACACCTTAGAAGCCAGATGGTGCCCTTTCCTTTGGCCTCTTTTCCACAAAGGAGCAAGTGGAGAAGAGAGTAAAACAGTCTAGGCAACACCTCATAGATGGCAGGAACTGAATTCAACAAGTTTGGGCTCAGACATAATTACAGCACTAGAGACATCATTCTAGTTTGTGGATAAATGCTATCAAGAGAAGGTTCCAAGTGAAACTGTCACTTTCATAAAGCACGAAAACATTATAAAAGGAACTGGGGAGACCAATTTAAATAGCAATAATGAACACATAACACTGGGCTATATTGAAATTATGCGGGCAACAAGAACTGAAAGGATCTTACCTGATCTTTAATCATGAGTTGGTGACTTTCCATCATCAGCTCGAATTTGTCCCACTTGGCTCTCAGATTGCTAACTGTCTCTACCCCTCCACCTGCCACGGTCCGCAAAAGCCTGTTCTTGTCTTCGGCTTCTTGAAACAAGGGCAAAATCTGAGGGTCAAATGAAACAATCATTTTATCAGTCTCTCATGATTTTATTATTTGCTTATTTTATATATGTACTATAAATACATAAAATATTACATTATTTATATATAATATATAACTTATTGTTATAAAATGTGTATTACATATTTTTATTTCAAAATGAAATCAAATTTAAAAAAATTGTTCTGAAATAATTTGTTAAAGTTCTAGCTATAACGTTCCTGGTGCTTACTATTAACGCACTATAATCTCAGAAATTAAGGCCAGGCGGTGGTGGCGTATGCCTTTAATCCCAGCACTTGGGAGGCAGAGGCAGGCGGATTTCTGAGTTCGAGGCCAGCCTGGTCTACAGAGTGAGTTCCAGGACAGCCAGGGCTACACAGAGAAACCCTGTCTCGAAAAAACAAAACAAAAAAAAAAAAAAAAGGAAAAAAAGAAATTAATGAAAAAATTGCAACTGTGAGGTAAAGGCAAGAGAATCAGAAGTTTAAGGTCATACTCCACTAATAGTGAACTCAAGACCACTGTGGGCAATAGATCACTCATGTCTTTAAATAAAGATGTGTCTCACACCAAACCAGGTACAGACAGAAAACATACAGACTAATTCTTCTGTTGAACGTACACATGAAAATACTCAGGTTTCCCTCTCCCCAGGTGTGTCAAGCTGACACCAAGGCCAGCCAAGCGAGGACATAAACAGACTCAGGGATAGAAATCACATGGTCAGTGGACAGTTCCATGGATGCAGGAGAAGCCTTTGGCAAAATTCAGCATCCTACATGATCAAAGCCCTGAAGGCAGGACAGAAAGAAGGTCTTCAGAACAGTGGTCCCATAGATATGGGAAATAATGCACACTATACTAAAAGGGAAATGTAAACACTCACTAAGGTGACTTTTTCACCTTTTCTGAGAATTTTACAAACTGACTGAGTCTTCTTCCTTCTTGCTCTAAACAAAGCTTTAGCCCTGAAATGTCCTGCAAATGCTGCCTGGCTCCTTCTGCCTTTGCCCGCCTCCCATCCCTAACTGAACTCTCCCACTGTATGTCTCTCCTAACTCTGCTCTAACTTTGCATTTCACACTAAGGTTCCAATTCTGAAGACAGGTATGGATTTCTGAGATCTTTCAAAGGCTACAAATACCTCTAAAAGGAAGACAAAGTACTATTAGGCCTACTTTACTACTACACCATGAGTCCAATCATAGCTGCCCAGTTAGACTACATTATAAGAACTTCTTCATAATGTTGAGATTACATGGTCTAAATAATCACACAAAATACCTAATTTATACATCTCTACAAAGTGAAGGTGAAAATAATTGCTTTATTTTGCATTCTCACCTCCGGCCTCCGATCCTGCAGGTTACTATACTGTAAATTTGTATCACCTATTTCTTCCACAGACTGAGGTATAACTGTTAAGACCTTCAAAGCCTCAGTAACAAATGTATCAATTTCATGTATATGCGCTGAAAGAAATGATACATTATTATTATTGTTATTATTACATTACCAAAAAAATACTGTTACATGATGACTAAGCAGCCTCAGAAGTAAAATTATGATGTAAAGTATGTTACAGTCTATTACTTGCCTTCAGGTAACAAACATTTAAAATGCAGAATAACACAAAAATTTTCCCAAGAGAGTATAGTTGTTTTATATTGTACTTAAAATTTTTTGAAAGGGAACAGAAGAAATAGCTCATCAGTTAAAAGCACTGACTGCTCTTACAGAAGATCAGGTTTCAGGTCCTAGTACCCACATGGAGGGTCCCAACTATCCATAACTCCAGTTCCAAGGAGCAACTCACTTTTCTGATCTCTGTGAGCAATAGGCACACATACGATACACATACAGGCAAAGCACTCTACACATCTAAAAAAACTAGTAAAACTTTAAGGAAAAATAGACAAACTAAAATGAGTTCATTCCTAGCTATTGTTATTAAGAATCAGAAATATTTCCAGTCTTCTAAATAATGTTGCAATACCTCAGCTTACCATTTGAGGAAATAAGGATAAATATGATGTCAGTATTATTATTGTCCTCAATTATATGCAACAAACTAATACTATCTCAACTTCAAATAATAAAACTATCTGAAATTTTTAAAACTTTTAAAAATAAATATGAATTTTCCTACTTTCTTAAAATTATTATTTTCAGTAAATTTTTCAAGATAGTTTAAGCTGTAATTGAGATTTATATTTTGCAACTATAGAAGCCATGGCTCTACAAACAAAACACAGTAAGAGTGAAACTGGAAAGGGCTTTACTCTGGATGGACTTCTTCAGAGAAAGGACAAGCAGATCGAATAACTTCTGGATGAGGTCATCGATCACGGTCTTCACAGGGCTGCAGTTGATGTTGAGACAGTCCACCTTGACCACACTGAGCACACCAATGAACATGGGAGGGATTCTCTTGTGATTATTTATGAATGTAGAACAGGATTCAACAAGTGCATCAATGTGTCACCATAATCTTTAAGAGCATACACAGTAGAGTAAAAAAAGCCTTCTATACACCAGTTAAGTTTCCAGTAAGTCCATTTAGCACTGATTTTGTCTGCCTTTTTTTCTTTTCTCTTTTTTTTCTTCCTTTTTTGACAAGGTCTCCCAGTCTGGCCTCAAATTTATAATCCTTCTGCCTCATCCTTCTGAATGCTAGAATTCTAGGAATGTATTCCCACACCTAGCTTAAAGCAACAATTTTTAATCATGGAATATATTCATCTTTAAAAATTATGCATGACTGAAACATCAGCAATATAATATATTTAAATATTTATAAGTTCTAATTGTTTCAGTATATATCTATTTCACATTTATGAATTAATTATTGTGTAGCCAACATACATATGAGGGTAAGAAAACAAACATAGACTGAATACAGAATGAATATAGATTGAGATACTAAACAAGAAAGCCAGACAATGTTATTTTACACCTTTAAAATTGACAAAAATAGAAATTAATTTTAAATTAACCTTCAATTTGAGGCAAAGAGAAATTTCAGAAATGTTGGTGAGAGTATAGACTCCCACACTACAGGAGGCATAGCAGCCCTTGCAAAGTGGAGGGGTGAGGAACAAGAGTTTGCGATCATCCTTACTACAGAGTGAACTCAAGGGCAGTCCAGCATATACAATCTCAAAACAAAAGTCAAATTTTATGAAAAGCAATTTAGTCTTTATGAAAAGATGTATTTGCTGGGCAGTGGTGATGCACATCTTCAACTGCAGCACTCAGAAGGCAGAGGCAGGGGGATATCCGAGTCTGACCCCAGCCTGGCTTCCAAAGTCAACTCCAGGACAGCCAGAGCTTCCCAAAGAAACCTTCAACAAAAAACAAAACAAAACAAAACAAAACAAAATAGATAGACATATTTTGTCTCAAAAAAATTATCTTTTCAGTTTGGATATTTTTGTTCATTTGGGTGTTTTGATTTGAGACACGGTATCCTCATCTGTTGCTGGCCTTGGGATCTTTCCGTGGTGCTGGCCCTGACCCTCCCATCTCTACTGCCTGTGCTAGGATTAGGGATTAGGGGTATGGGCCATCACTTCTTTTTTGTTTTGTTTTGTTTGCTTTTTTTGAGAAAGGGTTTTTCTGTGTAGCCCTGGCTGTCCTGGAACCCACTCTGTAGAGCAGGCCAGCCTCAAACGCAGAAATCCGCCTGCCTCTGCCTCTGCCTCCCAAGTGCTGGGGGGCCATCACTTCTTATCCTTTGAGTTTATCCTAATGTGGATCTTGTAGAAGAACCTACAACTACCTCTTTACTAAACCAGCATAGTCCTCAACTATCTTCTGAATTTATCCTCATACCCACAGTAAGCATAACCTTCACACCTCATCAAGGAACATTCTCTTTGCAACAGAATGAGAAATACAGAAAACCACACACAACCAGTCAAAATGCAGAGTTGCAAAACCCAATAGATGCATCTACAATATAACTCCCACAGCCAAAGTTCATGGATCATCGCAGAAGTGGGTGGCAAGATTGTAAGAGCCAGAGGTCTAGGGAGTTTCCTATGAGATTTTGTCTTCTAGCAAAGTCAGAAACTACACCTATAAAAATTCACCAACATGGGTGCCTAACATGAGCTGAACAAGGACAGCAGCAATAGACATGACAAAGTGGACAGGGAGAGCACATGAGGCCTTAACTCCACACAAAGAACTACAGGCAACTAAGAAACACTGAGAGTGGGAGAAATAGTCTTGTCCAGGGAAGAGCATGTCAAACTGTCATCTGATACCAATTGCTCAGCTCTGAAAGCACACACACAAGTAACATTATACAGACTGAGAAGGTTGTACTTACATACTTAGGAATACACACACACCACCAACAACAATCACAACACCAACAATAACTAAAGAAAAGAGACTTGAATTTCAAGGAGAGCAACAAGGGTTATATGGGAAGGTTAGGAGAAAAGAAAGTGGGGGAAATTATGTAATTATTTTATAATCTCAAAACATAAAATAATTTTAAAAATGAAAATAAAAGTTTAACAAAATTTCTTTTTAGTTTCATATAGCCAGACTGGCTTCAAAATCTCTTTCTTCCCCCCGCCCCCGCCCCGAGACAGGGTTTCTCTGTGTAGTTCTGGCTGTCCTGGAACTCACTCTGTAGACCAGGCTGGTCTCGAACTCAGAAATCTGCCTGCCTCTGCCTCCCAAGTGCTGGGATTAAAGGTGTGCGCCACCATCGCCCGGCCTCAAATTCTCTTAACAGCCAAGAACAGCACTGAATTCTTGATCCTCCTTTGCCTCTCCCTCCTAACTGCTGAGATTACAGACCTATGCCACTACACCCAGTCCTAAGGAAACATTTAAGCCAGATGCCAATACAATCAAAGTATTAACTGTAAAAACTTGGAAACAAGCCAAGTACATTAACTCATTGGTGCTGGTGGCACATGTAGAGACCCAGGTACTCAAGAGCATGACACAGGAAGACAGCTAATTCCAAGGCAGACTGTATAGTTTAATGAGAACATGTCTTAAAATAAAAAGTAAAACTGACTGAGAAGTAACTCAGAGGTAGAGCAAATTACCTAGCATGTATAAGGTGCTGGGTTTAGTCCTCTGTATAATAAGAATAAACAGGTAGGTAAGCAGGTAAACAGACATGATAACTATTTCTATATCTCAAAATCTCAGGCTTGCTACATCCTAATAAAACTTCCCCTGACTTTGTCCCAAATCAGGACAGGAGTCAATACTTTCTGAATCCCTACACTTAGTTCAGTGCATAGTGCAGAATATATTCCATTCAGCATTAACAACAATGAAAAACTATTAACAACTTTTGAAAACAGTCTGTACCAGTAATGTATAGGCAAATTACTCCATATAATCCTTAAATGTATTAATTTCTTTGTAAATATCTTTAAAGTAGAAGAAATTGAGGTTCATAATTTAAATTTATGCCACAGTTGAGCAGCTGTTGAGCCAGCAGACTACAGAACTCACTCACTAAGCCCTCAGTAGACTGAGCTTTCTCCTCAACCACACTTGCTGCACTACAAGAGGAAGCTCCTTGATCTCAGCTATCTCTTCATCTTGCTTGTATTTATGTAAAGTTCTTTGTGTTATAAATGCTCAGCACATCTTACTAAAAGGAAGACTAAGTTAATAAAAGGGGATGCTGTCTTCCATAAAGTGCGCATTCATTCTCATGGAATTCATTGTCAAGAGAGCTCCAGGCAGTTGAAACTTCAGGTAGCAGGGGTCTACCTTCCCAAAGCTGGGTTAGGAACTTCCTCTCAGAGGCTTATGTCCACATTTACAGCAGTGCCTAGATGTATCTCTATGCCACATGTGTCTCAGGCCATTCTGAAGGGAAGCAGCAGAGTCAAAGAATAGCGATAAATACCATGAGCTTTATTTTTAGTATTCTGTCTAAACTCCACCTCCACAGTTATCTGACAACACCCAGATATGCTCCTCCCCACAGTTACCTGGCAACAGCCAGGTAGGCGTGCCCACTATAAAAGGGGCTCCTTGCCTCCTCCTCTCTCTCTCTTACTCTCTTACTCTCTTGCCTCTAGCTTCTCCTCACCCTTTCCCCTTCCCTTCCCCCTCTCTCCACGTGGTCATGGCCGGCCTCCTCTTCTCTACCCTCTCTACTCTTCTCTCTCTCCTCTCACTCTCCCACTCTCTTAATAAACCTCCCCTCGTGGAACCATCTAGTCTGCTGTGATCTGTCCAAGTTGCGCGTGACCTTTTATTTATGTTCTCTGGAAAGCTCTCAGCAGCAGCTCTAAGTACAGCTTGACTGTATTAAATATTTTATTTGTTGTTTTTGTTTTGTTTTTGAGATAGTATCTCACTATGTAGCTCTGGTTGTCCTGGATCTCACTATATAAATAGGCTGTCCTCAAACTCACAGAGATCCCCCTGCTTTAAAGAGGTATTCTTACCAGCCATACCAAACTACTGTGCTACATACACAAGCACACCAACTCTCATACCTGGGAAGCCGGTCAACTTCTTTCCCCTTTATTTTCAATGCTTTAAAATTTTTCTCCCAATCATGCACAGTAGAAAGGTTCTTTTCGACCAGAGCTTCCATGTCAACTTGTCCAATCACAACCCATTCCTAAAGAAGAAAAATTGGATTAAGGAATGGGAACTACCTCAGAGGCTGACATTGAAAAGAGAGGCTCTACTGATTAAGATCAACAAAGTGAGGAAAATAAGCCATTTTAGAATCTCTTTTCAGATTCAATGTATACAAATTCAAGTGTAGAAGCATTTCTACAAAGGACAGCCTCCAAGTGTCCAGACCACTTGCCAATCAAAATTACAGACATCTGAGGTGCAAGGACAGCCGAGGAACAGAGCAAATTCCTGGCCTATGACCCTTATCCAGCACAAATGAGCACTAAGATGAAAGCCTGTACCTGAATCTGCTTAGTTTTAGATGTTTACTCAGAAATAGTCACAATAAGACATCATATCATAGTGATGTTTTAAACAGGAACGGGTGGCATACACTGTGCTGTCTAAACTATACAGCACAGGTGTACTCCACCTAGGCTGTGCAAGCACACTCTAGCTTCCTACAAAAACTATACTACCTAGTGTCAGATTTCTCAGAATGTATACAAGGTTTTAGCACATCTTTAAATCACCTGAATTAAATTAGCATTTGAGCATTCTCCCTCAAAATATATTTTCTTCAGAATTACAATTGATGCAAATGTCATATTACATTCCAAGCTGATATAAGCATTTAAAAGAAAAAAACCTAGTTTTTCAAACTTCATAAGCTAAAGGCAAAATTGTCCATTACCTCTCTCCCTTTGCAACATGAACCTAGAGTATGAGCCTAGCAAGCCTAGCCATAGGCTAAGAGCCTAGCAAGCTGCCTCCTGGTTTTGCTACATTTTGAGTTTATTTCATCATAGAGAAAATTCTCATTTTATACTTACTAAATGAGTACATTTCTGACAAGAGTAGAAATTTGCAGGCTCTGTACCTTATGTTGATGTAAAACAGCTGACAGTCTTCTAAACAGATCTTCTGCTTTGCTGTAAATAGTCAGAAATCCACTTGCATTTCTATCAATCATGACAGAAAATATTGATTCATCTCCAGCCTCACCCACGCCTTTAAACTGATTGGGAATTGCGATGAACCTCTTCATTTCTCGGTAATACTTAGCCCGGATTTCTTCGAAAGGGGGCCTAAACTGTAACCTTCCTTGTCTGTAAAACAGAGTGAACGGCACTCTAAATCATCTTAAATTATATTACTTAGAACATAAATTATTAGAAAGGTTTAACTGAAAATGAACTAGGGATTTCAGAGCCTCTTACTTGTAGGTTAAGTCTACGTTTATTTCTGGCAAGTTCTCATTCAGCGCCTCCAGACCCATCTGATACTGATGCTCCAGGGCCTTGTAAAGCTGGTGGTTCCAGTGCTGCCGCCACGGACGCATGTCGCTGGGCTGGAAGCCCTGAAACATCATTCACCTCTTCAATCTGAAAACTAGTGCTAAATGACTTTTTTACTTTTGCTTTTCAAGCTATGTAAAGTGCATTTACCAACTTAGGGCTCGTACTAAATATCTTAAAATACAAAACTCTAACAGCCATTTGTAGTAAAAGAGCTTTATGAAATATTTGATATGAAAATATCACAGCTAAAATATTACACAAAAGGCTCACCAAATGAAAAACTCAAATTTTTTATTTGAAGCTGGTTTTATAACAGTCTACTTCATGAATTCTTTTGTATTTTTTCAATGTTCTCAAAAAAGTACTACTCTTCATTTCCTACTTCTGAAATAATTCACTGAATATTTTAAAAATAAGAAATTTAAAGTAGATAGCTAAAAACAGTTGCATTTTAATATTGCTGTTTGCTTCCACACAAGCATTAAGACATCCTTTCTAGTACTTTGGACTTTTCTTTTCCTTTTTTTTTCCCCCAAATTCTGAGAATTGGAAGAAATATAAAACAGCTAACTTAAATTCAACTCAGAGCCTATATATATATGAAAATGTGCCTCTAAGAAGAAAAAGAATCCTGACAGTTCAATTAGTAAACTTCAGTTTGAACTTAACTTTGTATTCTACAGAGGTTACGGTCTCTTGTAAGAGAAGAGCAAACGATAAATTCATAAGCGCCAAGTCAGGAAAACTACAAACTAAACAGGGACATGGGCCTCCGTAAGGCACACAGCAGCTTATTTTTATGTAGTTCACATGAATTCACTGCAATTTACAGCATTTGTATGTGTGTCAGTCAGAGGACTGTATATTCATTAGGGATATCAAGAGGTATTTACGACTTTGCATGAACTTCTCACTGAGTCATGCATCCAGATTCCCAAGACACACAGCGCAGCCCACGCACCTGCGCTGCCACACTCGCCAAGCCAGTTCTCAGTTCCTGTAGCCCATCCTTCCAGCGCTGCTGCTGCCGAAGCAGGTCAATATTCATAAGAGTGACCACCTGTTCAAATAATGTGCAATAGAGCCTGTTCAATTTAACAGTTCAATTAGTAAACTTCAGTTTGAACTTAACTTTGTATTCTACAGAGCCTGTAATTGTTCAGAGCCTGTTAGGAACATGGCAGCTTTCCAGTGTTGCAGCCACCTTAATCAAGGAACAACGGACCACTCATCCCATGCGACCTGTCATCCCCTCATGCACTGACAAGGGCAAAGCCTCACATCAGCTCCATTTCAGCCAACACTGCTTTAAGCCGATAAGGACTGGGAGGGAAGGAAGGAGGGATACACACACACACACACACTCAAATACAAAATGCAGAAAGAAAAGAAGGGCTCTGTCCTGGGTAAGAACAGAGACTCTGCTGGCCAAGGGACAAGCCTCAAATCCTGTCAGTTTGCTGCTATTGACATCTGTATTCCAGCTAGGTTAGTTGTAAACAGCAGAGAAGTTAGGTAAAGGGAAAACATAAATTTTATTTTCGCCACTTCAAATCTCTAATTACTTCGCAAAAAAGCTGTAATTATAGACTAATACTAATTATTTTTGTTCAGTTCCATTCATAGTATAATAAATTCTATAAACAAAATATACCTTTTCACAAAATGTAGTGTGCCACTTTCTCAGCCTTCTATTCTCCGTGGCAAGTCGCTCAGCAGCATTTTGGAGTTTCTGGATGTAGCCTTCTAGTTCTTTAGGGTTGTCCCAAGTAATCTGTGACTTGCCTCCACTACCGGCCTTTGAATTCTACAGAATAATAAACAATAGTATTCAGATACAATCCTTTTTCCAAAAAGGCTTAATTTTATGTTCAAAGCCCAATTATTCTTAACAGTAATCTCTATGAAGATTAAAAGTATACATTTCAAAAAATTTCCAGTCACAGAGTACCATGTAGTCTAAAACCTAATGTGAATTTTTCCAATTTCCTATAGAGGTTTAAACAAACAAAAAAGCAAAGTCATGAGTTACAAAATCTGGAGATGGTTTAAAGAAAAACAACACTCACACCTCAAGCACTTTGTGTACCAGGATCTCCAACTCAGAAGAAAGAATGCAATAGCATGTGAGCTGTACATGACACAGGTATGCAGCTCATCAAACCCACAACCAAAATAATAGGAAGCACTTGAATTACTTGTCTATGGTTAGGACGTACTTGCCAAGAACGAAGGGAATCACGGGAGACAAGATGAAGTTGCCCGTGCTCATACTGTGGCTGTGAAACTGAAGGATGAACTAAGAACCAGCCCACACCCTCTCCATGTGTGTCATAAAGCATGGGGCTCCCACTTACTTTAATTATCTGCTCAAATGCTAAGGCAGACTGCAGCATCATCGGCCTCTGACTCTGAATCATCTGTTGATCAATGGAATTGTAAAAATGTGCCACCTACAACATACAAGCCCAATTAGCAGCCAGCAACAATACATTGTGCGTTTAGCATATTTCCTTTATTTTTGTTCAAGTACTAATACTTTTTCTCAACCTTAAAATCAAACAGAAATAGTTTTTCATCTCCATATCAGAATTTATAAATCAATATTCCCAATCAACACATATTTTGAGGTCCTACAATTTATCATGGATTGTCCTAAACTCGTCAAACAGACAATAAAATTTATTCTCTGGGATCAAGTTCACCCCATCAGGACAAAAGGAACTCAGTGCTAAGAAGAGGCTTAGTGCTAAAGGAATAAATTTCCTTCTTCTGCACCTCTCAAGAAAGCATTCAACACCTCTGCAGTACATAACACAATTCCCTGTACATGGTTCACATCAAAAAATGGACTTCTCTTGATCTTTTCTCTCAAATTCCACATCAACTAAAACCTATACATTCAAAATATGCCTTCATTCCAACCACATTTTCCTGCTCTAGCCCCTCCTCTAATGCATGTGATAACTTCTTGGTAAAACCAGGGCAACAGTCTGTGATCTAACTAGTCTCCCTGCTTCAAATCCTAGCTTCTTACGTTATTGGCTATGTGATCATACACGTTATATTGGCTATGCTCTCCACACACATGCTCCTAGTTACTCTGGAGAAATGGAGGATTCACTGAAACCACTGTTCCTCTTGCTCCTCAGGGCAGCAGATGTTCGTTCCTACATGCCCAGTGAATAAGGGGAGCCTGGATGTTGTAATTCAATACCGTCTCTTTTGTACTTTTCTGACTGACAGCAAAACTAGCACAATTCCTACTCAGAAGGCACATTCTCACCATGACACATCTTACCAACCTTAGTACGTAATTCTTTCCTGGACGTCTTTCATGCTTCCTCTTAAAGGAAGTACTTTAGAGTATGAAAGTTCCTCAAAAGGCTGAAAATAGACCTACCATAAGACCCAAATATACCACTTCTGTGCATATACCCAGACATCTGCACACCTTAGTACAAAAATACACTGTGTTCATTGCTGTTGTAGCCACAAGAGCTAGAACTGCAATCAGCCTAGGTGTCCGTCAACTGATGAATGATAATGAAAATGTGCTATGTATATACAACGGGATTCTATTCAGCTATAAAAAATAGATGGAACCAAAAATATCATACCAAGTGAAGAACTTAGATCCAGAAAGACAAACATCACATGTTTTCTCTCATATACAAACCCTAACTTTAAAGTGTTAGATCTATGTGTTTAACTTGAGAATATGCAAAGAAGTCAGGAAAGCAGAAGGAGACTGAGGTGGAGGTTGAGGGCTTATTGGCAGAGGGAGATAGTAGTAGAAGAGGGGAACAGGGGGTTAAAGGTTTAACTAGAGATATATGGTAGACAAATAAGAGAGAAGGATGTGGGGAATGAAAAGACCAAAACTAGAGATGTATGAAAAATCCTTATGGAGGAGCTAGGATGATGGTTCAGTGGTTAAGAGCACAGGCAGTTATTTCAGAGGACCTGGGTTCAACCCCCAGCACCTACATGGCAAGCCCATTTGTAATTCTAGTTCTACAGGACACAATGCCCTCTTCTGGCCTCTGCAGGTACCTGGTACAGACATACATGTAGGAAAAATACCCATATACAAAAAATAAAACAATTTTTTAAATCCTATGGAAACACACTACTTTGAAAGCAATAAAACTGATTTTTTAAAAAAAGGAATTGAAACAATGGTATCCTGCATGACTTGACAATGCAAAAGAAATGGTTATTATATGAAAATCTCAATACCAAGTACGGTACACCTCTCCTACAGAATACTGACCAGAGAGGCCCCAAAGGCCTCTATGACACAACAGGCTATTGTGAACACTCCTGGTTGTCCAACTTAATTAGAACATAGGATACACACATTTTGATTGCAGTACACTCAGAAATCAAAATAGAAATGGCCAAGAATCCTCTGCCCCAATGACATATCCGTGTGTGATATACAGGCTAGAGGGGAAGAAATAACATTAATGGTCTGTGATGGTTTGAAGGAAATGACCCCATAGGCTCACGTGTTGCATGCTTATTCCACACTTGATGAACTACTTGGAAGGATTAGGAGATGTGGCCTTGTTAGAGTAGGTGTGGCTTTGTTGGAGGACTGTGTCACTGGGGGTGGGCTTTAAAGACTTAGAAAGCCCCCACCAGGCCCAGTCTCTGGCTCTACCTGTAGCCTGTGGATCAGGAAGGAGAGCTCTTAGCTACTGCTCCAGTGCCATGGCTGTCTGCTTCCTGCCATGATGATCATGGACTAACCCTCTGAAACTATAAGCCCCAATTAAATCCTCTCTTTTGTTGCAAGGCGGATATGGAGGGACAGGGAGATGACTGGCATTGGGATAGATGATGTGAAATTCACAAAGACTCAATAAAAAGTTTTAAAAATGTGTTCTTTTGTAAGAGTTTATTTGGTCATCGTATCTTATCAAGCAATAGGACTGTAACTAAGACATGGTCTTACTGTCCACTAGACCCTTCCAACTACAATAGCAACCTGCCAGGCAAAATGTACCCACTGGAACAATAGTTGTATGACTGTTATGGGTAACCAACCACTTTCTGATTGGAGTTAAGGCTTGCTCCACAGAAAGGAATGCATGTCTGATACTATAAGCCTGTAAAAATGGCTGGGAAAACCATAGGCCCAAGCAGTGAGAGAAAGTCTACAGTTAATGATGAACTAAATGTTAATTTTCAACTGCGTTCTAAATCTTTACCTTGATAACCACAATATAGTGTAGCTCTCAACCTTGGTCAGAAAAGCCTCCTTTTGTAGTAGGCAGCAGTTCATGTGAAAAGTCATAAGTACTCAAAAAGCTGAGAACAGTGACTATGGGGTGCTCAACCCTCATTGAAGTGTTTCTTTCAACCAAGGCTAAGGGACCTGGTGGATGAAGAGCTAGAGACACTGAGGGAGGTAGAGGATGCTGTGTAATGCTGCCTTCTGGACAGGGCAGGACGTGGCCCTCATAGGCTCTCAGCAGCTGTATTACTATACAAGATCAAGGTATCGTTCCAACATTAATGGGAGAGGAGCTCACAGGACCTCACCCAACCAGAGAAATTGCTGGCAGTTGAAGGCTTCTGTGGTAATGAGAGTCACTTTTTAGGGCTGTGGCCTCTGGTAAGTCACCCATACTAAGTGGAAGACCCCACGCCCATGCACATATGAGCAGCACTAATAGAATTCAATGAGTTAAGAGGGAATGAAGGGTGGAGGGGGATGTTTTGGGGGATCCAGGTGGAGAGGGAGAGGGTAACGGTAGCAGGTATGGTCAAGATACACTATATACATGGATAAAGCTGTCAAAGAAAAAATAAAAATTATTTTTTCAAAAACAAAGTTGGTCTGGAAGTGGTGTCATACACTGTTAACTGAGGAGGTACAGGCAAGCTAATATGAAGCCAGCCTGGCCTACATAGCTAGTTCCAGGCCAGCCAGGGCTACACAGTAAGACCCTGTCTCAAGTAATTAATTAAAAAGAGGTGGGGCTTAGTGGAAGGTCTTTAGAGCAATGGCAATAGATACTCTTAAATGCAGAGCCTCTCACACCCTGTCCTCCTGTTTGCTTCCTAGCTGTGTGTGGCTTTAACCACCCATGTTCCCACAACGTGCTGCCTTGGTATTGGCCCAAAAGCAAGATCATGGGCTGAAACTTCCAAATCTGTGAGCTAAAATAGACTTCCTCTTTCTAAGTTGATTCTCTGAAGTGTTTAGAACAGTGGTCAGGCATGTCAAAGAGTGTCGGCAGAGAAGGAAGCCAAAGCCATTAACTGCTCTGGAACCTGATCCAGGAGGTGGACAAGTAGGTAAAAACAGGCAAACAACAGCAATGGTACAAATACATAAACTGACACCAACAAACCCGGGAATCCTCTATAAATATCTGCGAGGTAGGCAGAGGACTCTCATTAAAAGTGCTTTTGAGACCTTTACAATGTAATAAGAAAAAGAAAAGGAAAAGAGTGGAGGACTTAGGAAAGGAAGAGGAGAAGGAGTAGTAAGTTATTTTTCCTAATGATTTCAGAATGAAAATTAATAATAATAATAAGTTTAAAAAATCCAATAGATTCAAAACAGATTTTAGTTTAGTCATTTATCAAACTGTAAATTCACAAGTTAATAACCTTTTACAGTAGCATAAAAATTAAAAGCAAAAACTAACGCCCTAACATAATCTAATTTAGCATAATAACCAAGAACAAAAGCATCTTCAAAGGTGTCACTCCCTGTCTCGAAAAACAAAACAAACAAAAAAAAAACAAAAACAAAGGTGTGTCACTCATACTTGCTTAAGAATAATGGCTTGCTTGCAGAACTTCTGAGCAACATTTGCAACCTGTTGTATTTTGGCAGGAATGACAAAGCCCAGGGCAGAAAGCTGACGGACTTCTCTCAGAAGAATCACCAGGCGATCAGAATAATGCACTTTTAACGCTCCGTCATTAGGGTCCAATTCCATTATTCGGCTGTTAGCCTCAATACTGAGACGGGGGTGGGGGTGGGGGGGGAGGAGAGGAGGAATCTTTGAGGCTTCATTGTTCTTATGCTTTGGTGTGATGAAACTGATAAAAAATACATTTTGTTCAACTTTTACACAAACCTAACAGTTAAAACAAACAAGCTTACTAAGCCAGGCTTTCTAACTCTGTTCCTCCTCCTTTCTTCAAAAGAAAATTATACATTTGTATTGCTAGCAATCATTTCTTGTGTAATCAAATGAGAGTTACTTGGTTTGAAAACACAGAGCCTACAGAGAACTTGTAAGACTTATTTAACTTTGTGCAGTGATGCTTTCGTGTAAACAGGTAAGGGCTGGTTGTACAGCCTGCAGAGATTTAGGGTCCTGTTATGGTGTTCTTTGTGTGATGGTGTGGATGCAGTGTACTAACTGCCTCAAGAGCTTCTCCCTAGAAACTGAAGTTAACAAATTCTACTGTGAAGCTGTCTTTAAATTTAAAAGACAGCTTTAAAGCTGGGACAGTGTTAAAAAAGGAAGTTCTTCCCATGTTTTCTTACCATCTAGACATCGATAACAAACTGCAGTATTCAAAAATGTCACTACATAAATGAGCACTTTATAAATCAGAAAAATCCACCCTTGAACTGTTAGCTAAGAATCAAGACTGACACACCAGAAAGGTCTGACTTGACTCCTAATGGGGCCCAGGATGGCTGTGGGCTGCTTGCATTCTGCATAATTTTAGTTAAAGAATCAACAACTAAATCAAATCGTAAAAGCAAAAGTACTCACACGTTTTAATCCTTTACTCTTTCAATTTGCCCTTTCTCGTGTTAAGACTTTAATAATAAAACCGCTTTGGGGTTTTCGAATCAGCATGGACTATAAAAAACACTTACCATAAAGTCGACATGATTTTGATTTATTATGGTTTATATTATGTTCTTTCTTTCAAATCACTTTCAAAATTAAGAAAATTCACAAGTGTTAAAAAGTAATCAGGAAAGCTAGGAGCAAATACATTCTGCTTACTTACTATCACCTCCAATAAACTATGACAAAAGAAGATGCCAAATGGCTTAAAAAGAAGATCCAGCATCCCTGTGCGCACTCCTAAGCATAACAACAACTGGAATTCTTTCACCTTCTTTAAAAACGTTTGCATATACCAGGATTTCAAAGGATATCTTCAGAGGTACTCTGGTTATTGCAAAGACTAGAAAAGCCCCCCCCCCCAAAAAAAAAAAAAGATAGGAGACAATAAGGGTTGGAAAAGGTTCAGCAGGCTCATTAGCAGATCTCTGACCCACTCGCCACCTTACAGAGCAAACCACAGCAGGCTCTGCATGACAAGGTGGACTGGGTTTCAAATCTAGCTAGGTACAGTTCTGGAAGATGGGGGCTAGACCATCTCTTTTATTCTTTACTCCATGTAGGAAGAAAAGAGTTAAATTGCACAAAAGTACAGTAACTGTACCACAGAACTCCTGGGTCCCTCTAATCTTCCTCGTGAACCATAACTGTACTCAGGGAATTGCATTATTTACCCAGTAAGCTGGACTGACTCTCCTACTACTGAGAGTAGGAGAGGGTTAAAGAACTTCATGCTATGAACAGTTTCTTTTTAAAAAGACATTGTGGTTGCATACACAAGAAATTGAAATTAATCACCCAGGGCAACATAAGGATATCCTATCTGTTGGAGGAAAACAAGAGGGCTGAAGGTATAGCTGAAATGTGAAGTGCATGCACAAGTGAGTCCCAGTGAGAGGAGACATGAAAGTGTCTAGAGTACAGATAACAACATACTGTGGAAAACTGACTGCAGGTACAAAGGAATATGGATTTTTTTTTCCTAGTTATATCGAATAAATTGTTACTAAAACAATGATAACTAATAAAATATTAAATAAAATTTAGTAAATACTTGCCAAAGGCTTACTTAGGATTTGAGTGTCACGAGAAAATACCTCTCTCTTAAAGGGCTTAAAAATAATTGCAATTTAAAGTGCTTATGCATTCAATTGTAATGTAAAAAAGGTAGAAAAAATATATGAGATATTTTCATAAAAAATTATGAGAGAAGGAATATCTAATTCTCAAAAAAAGAATCTGCAGTTCTCAGGACTAGACATGTGACTAAGAGGGGGCAGGCAGGCAACTCCAGTTATAGAGTCAAAGTTTCCAACTTCAGGGCCTTACAGTATCCTCAGGGCCAATGAGATAGATGGTCCTGCTCTCCTAGAAGATCCAAGTTCAGTTCCCCACAATGAAGTCAAAGCCCACAGGTTCCCCTAACTGTAGTGATCTGGTACCCTTCTTGCCTCTGAGGGCAACAGAACATACATGTGATATTCCCACATACACACATAAAATTAATAAAAACAATCTTTAAAATAAAAAGAGTAAAAACGTTTTAAATGCAACAACTCATAAATAAGCAGCAGCATGTCTATAGAGAAGGGCTCTTTCCATCTTCCTGCACAGATTACTAACACGTGGGTTTGTGCTTACACTGCAGAGGACTAGCACTTACCACAAACCTGACCTGGAGTCAGACAACCCTGACTGGACTTCTCTTGACCAATCATCAAACTGTTCTTGTTCATAGAGCTTGAACTGGTCCAAGAGATCTTCAGCACTCCGATGAAAAGATCGAAATCCTGACAGGTCGGACAAAAGAGCTTCTGCAATCTTGATAGTATCGTCTACCTTGAAAAAGCCAAATGACAAAGATAAGCACTCACGCGAGCAAACCTTCAGTTTTAAAATAAGGAGGTCCTTTCTCTGACGTGAGACTCAAAAATTCTTTTTCTTTCATTTATAAGCAAGGGAAAACAGCTTTTCCATAAGGAATAAGCGTATCATCTGCTAATTGTCTTCTGAATCATACAAAGTCAGACTAACGAATCGCAAGAGGACAGCCCAAAGTTGCATACAAAGAATTAAAGGAAGGGAAGGCAAACCAAGCAAGAGCTGGACTCCACTCCTGTTCAGAGCATCACATTACTCCTAACATATTCAGAATAATACTGATCATTTGCTAAAGACTTTTGTAATAGTTCAAACAAGAAATAGACAGATGTGAATATCAGCTAAGACAAAAAATTTGTCTTCCTCCATAGCTGCCAATTCTGGTACTCTCAAGAAATGACCAATGGAAAATATAAGGCAAAAATATTTCAGAATATAATTCAAAGGTACAACTTTGAGAAGTAGCTTTTAAAATATCCCATGGCCTTTAATGTTTATTATACAAGTCAATACAAAACCTATACATATTAATAGTAAGTCTAAAAGACTTTGACTTTGTCAAAGTTAATAACATTATATATAATTACCTTTTACTTTTCCTTTAACTTCTGATGTGATTTTAGTGATATAAAAAAACTTGCAGTTAGACTTTCAAACCACTGTGACATCCCAACTATGTGTTTAAATCTAGTATCAAAGATGCAGTCCTCACAGATGCTTTCAAAAGCTCCGAGTGACACGTTGTAAGAAACTCCTTTATATTAAAAATGAATAGAACCAGAACTTTCTCCACGCATGTGTTCTTAGACTTCTTTACATTTCAGTGAAAATGAAATGTTATGGCATGAAGGTAAACTTCATCCTACTGAATTAGGTATTTAAGCACATGATACCCAGCTGAAGGCACTGATTTTGGAAACTATAGTATCCTTTTGACATGGAACTTAGCCAAGTGTGTAAAACCATGGGGTAGGAATAAAGGTCACAACTTAGCAAGGTTTTGCACCCAGCTCTCTAATTCCTGATCTGCCAAGGTATCATGTCATAAGTTCCAGTCACCAAACATGGAGCCTCAAGCAACCAGACAGCTCATCATGAAAGTCACTGTGAGTCAAAGTAAATGCCTCTTCCCTACAGTTGCTTCTCTAGCATCTGGTCACAACAATGAGAAATTAACTGTACTGCATGGAGGGAAAACAGTATTGTCACAATAGCTTTAGGATCCCTGTCATATACCTTAATTTAGTACATTTTGAATGTTCACTGTTTTTCCATATTAAAACAAGTACCTTCAATTCCAACTGACGAACCCAAACAATATTATTCACAACTTCTGAAAGATTTTTGCCAGAAAGTGGTCCAGATGCGTCACCAGGAATTCCTCGGCACCGATTCTCAAAGTCCAATCGAAAATCTGTATCATTCAAATCAAATAACACAGAAGCAGTGTATTTCAAGCCTTATTGGAAACGCTGTGGCTCTTGGTGCTCATTGCACCACCAGAACCTTGGAATATATATGATGATCACTGCTGTCACCATGACACAAGTCAGAATCCACAGGAATGCAGGCTCAGGTGACTGCCTTACACTAACTGAGGTGGGAAGGACCATGTTGTAGGGGAAGAGGATGCTGAACTGTGTAGGCTAGAAATGTGGGCTGAGCATGAGCATGCACACATCAGTCTCCTTCTGACTGTGGAGGGGACAGGAGCAGTCGCTTTAAACGCCTGCTCCTGACCGCCCCACAGAGATGGACTAACTTGAACTGTCCGTGACAATAATTCTTTCCTTCCTTAACTTGCTTTAGTCAGGTCACTTGATCATAGAAAAAGGAAAAGAAACTAATACAACTCACTATGTAATCTGTCAATTTAAAACATATCTAGGGGCTTGCAAGATGGGTCAGCAATTAAAAGCACTAGCTGATTTCAGTTGTCAGCAGTACAAAACTGCATGTTACATTTCTAGGGGGTGTGACACCGTCTTCTGGTCTTCAAGGATACGCATAATGTACAAACATGCATGCAGTGAAGACATGAACATAAATAATTTTTTAAACATAAAATAAAATTTTTTTAAATCTATCATTTATATCATAAATAAATCTGCTTGTCATAAAGATGTTTTAATCAAGTTTTTAATCTTAATCCATAGCATGAAAGAAATATCCACCTATAAAAACATTTCTCAAGAAAACATTGTTATTTCTGATGAACTTTACCTTTAGCTGAATCCCCAAGTCTTGCTAGTAAAGTCTCTCTCTCTAATATCAGCTCTTTGCTTATAGTGGGACGTTTCACCAATTCTTTGTATTTTAGAAATGCTTGGAGAAGCTAACGTAAGACAAAGTACATGTTTTTCTCAATTCAACCACATACATTAAAATAGCTTATGAAAGAAAATTGACAGTAAAATCTTTCAATATTTTACCTGCTGTGGACTATCTTGAATTTCTGAAATATAATTCTTTAATTTCCCTGCTATTTTCTGTTCTGCGGGTGCAATGATCTTTTCATACTGAGACACTGCAGCTTTCCATAAAGGCTAAACAAAGTAATAATACTGTTAGACTGTAAAATTTTACAAAGTGACCTTTAAAAGTCAAGAACACAGAAGGAACTTAAAGACATAAACACATATCGTCTCAACCTCCGTATAAGGATTGTACTGCACGGGGTTCATGCCAGTAAAAGGCTCAAAGACTCGAGACAGGCATACAATTCTCTCTTCACTGGCAGGTAAAAAATACAAGAGCTTCTCATGAATCGTTCGAATAGCCAAGACCTAAAATGGAATAGATTAAAACATAAAACGTATTAAGCTAAAATAACTCTGTAAGTTGGACTAAAGTCTAAAGAGTTTATACACATTTCTTTACAGTAGCTTCTGAAAAATGAACAAAACTGAAAGAATCTCACTCTTTTATGTATGTTTGAAATATTTCATACCAAAAAAATTTTAATTGGGTTTTTTCCTAAGCAAGGGGTGAGATTATCTCTGCCATCTCTGACTTTGTCTGTCCTTTGAAGCTAACTATGTAATTCTTAAGAAAGCTCATAGCTCAAGTAAATGAGAAACTTTTTGAAATATTTCCACTGAGTACACTTTCAAGGAGAGCCAAGCTTTGAAGCAATGTCAGTAGCCAAGAGAAAGCCTGAGAGGTCCCACACAGAGAAAACTATGTTATGCCCTTTAAAACAAAGAACAAAACAGAATTTCACAACTGGCATGTTAAGCACTCACATATCTAAGTAAAACAGGAACTAGGACTTAGCACCCACTATGCACCTCGCACTACGCCAGAGCACGCCAGGACTTGTCTCATATGACATTAATTCCTATGTTCACCCAAACCATAAATCATTTCTTTTACACATGGCCATCAATTGTAAAATGCCTTCATAGACCAGTGAAAGCCCATTTCCACTTAAAGACAAAGAGATAGACAATCAAACTTGTACCTCCTCTAGCCGTTTGCCCAGTCTGTCAAGAGTTTCTGGGAAATACTTTTCACTTTTCCATGGATGAGGGACATAGCGCTGCCACACCTGACCTGTGAGGTGACTGCAGACTATCACCCACTGTTCACAAATTGAAATGCCAGCTTTAAGGTTTTCTTTCACAAGATAATAAGGATCTTCCCACAGTTTCAAGCTTCCAAGCTTTTTCTGAACAAACCTTCCAAACGAACCACCTAATAAAACATAAAGCAAGATTGTATGGAATGGTTTTTTACAGAATTATAAAATATATTCTTAGGAAAAATTTAACATGTACATTAACAATCACAAAATACCACCTACCCACCCTTAGATTACCATTATCAGTAATTGTCTTTACAAATACATATGTACATACAGACACTAGCTTGCATTCTTCTTTAGTCAACATATTGCACCAAAACACATACTTCTTTGATGGCCACAGAGCCTACTGCATGGAAGAAGCAAACAGAAGCAGTTCCAAATTGCTATCTGACTGGACTTACAACAAAAAGTACTGCAATACACACCTGTCATGAGCTTGTCTCATGTTCTAAGAGCTTATCTCATGTTCTAAGGAGAATCATAAAAAGGATACTTTGAGTCAAATATATTAACACTGTGATATTAACCAGTGTGCTTTTCAAAATTCTTTAGTTCATCTGAAAATATTGTAAAATGAACATATGAGGTGGGCTGGAGAAATGTCTTGGCAGTTAAGAATGGTCCCTACTCTATCAAAGGACCTAAGTTCAGATCCCAGCACCCAAGTCAGGTGACTCCCAAGTGTCTGTAATGCTAGTCAAAGGGATCAGAAACCTTCTTCTGGTCTCCAAAGGTACTACATATGCACATAAGGAAATCTTTAATGCATAAGCGTGAAAAATATACACTTGGTTCTATTAGTGATCAAGGTATTTCATATCTATGAACTAAACCAACTACAAACAAAAAAGCATGTAGATAAATCTATGTGATTTATTAAGAATTACTTTAAGCCGGGCAGTGGTGGCGCACGCCTTTAATCCCAGCACTTGGGAGGCAGAGGTAGGTGGATTTCTGAATTCTAGGCCAGCCTGGTCTACAGCGTGAGTTCCAGGACAGCCAGAGCTATACAGAGAAACCCTGTCTCAAAAACAAAACAAAAAAAAAGTTACTTTAAATAGCAAGTATTGTATTATTAAGTATTTTAAGAAAGAACTTCGGGAAAAAGAGGGAAAGAAGAGGGAAGGAAGGGAAGAAGGGAGGAAGGGAAGAAGGGAGGGAGGGAGGGAGGGAGGGAGGGAGGGAGGGAGGGAGGGAAGGAGGGAGGGAAGAGAGAAGGAAGGAAAGAAGCAGGTTTGCACGGTTCCCAGAGCTCACTCCTCCTATACCTATGACATCCAGGAGATGCAGCATGCGTGACTCGGGGTAATGATCATGCTCTGTCTGTCGCCACACATCATCCACAACATCCCGAGTTGTCTCCACTAAGTCAACAACTTCTAGCAAGGACAGACTGTCCAAGTTATAAAATTCCTGAAAGGAAAAGGCATTCATGTAACACTCAAAATGTTCCCACTTCTTCAACTGCTATAAATCTATTTTCCTCTCCCTTTTTCTGACTTGTTTTTGCAAATGTCCTGCATAAACATAAATATCACAAAAGGCTGACAAAGAATACTAAAAAGACAGTTCACTTATCCATGCCCTTAGCTGAGTTTTCTTTAAGTTGGGCTTATCTACTTTCCCAGCAGAAGCCGCTTTAGCTCCACATACACACTGCCCACTATAATTCACATGTCCTTTATGCAGTCACGTGTTGTGTGCTGTGTAATGTGCTGACTAACAATAAGAGCAACACAAATTCGTTATTCTGTATTTATTCAATGTCATCAAAACAAGCTTTAATATACTTCAAACACACCACTGCCATGATAACACTGTGACTATCAAGAAGGTACAGTAGTAAAGGGATCTGCCACACAAGTTTCCTGGATCAAGTTTGATCCCTAGGACTCAAGAAAGGTACACAGAAAGAGCTGGCCCCAAGAAGTTGTCCTCATCTGACTCCAGGCATGCCAAAGCACACTTTCCCATACACATACACACATCATGCACACACATCCCACAATAGTAAACACTGAAATAACATTAAAAAATAAAAACAATACTGTTGATGAAGTAATAGTGGAAATAAATAGAAAATTGGTTCATTCTGAATAGAATACAATCATACTTAAAATAATCACTTACTAAACCCCTAAGCATACATCAAGGGATAATCAAACAAGCAGAAGGTAAGACATCACATTTTAAATTATTTTAAAATACTAATTTAAGTCATTTCATCAAAAGAATGTATATTTCTATATAAATTAATCTGTTAGTGTACTGGGTTTCTGTTCTGTGGTAAATGCACGTATTGTATGTGTGTGTTTGTGGATGTGTGGAAGGGAGCACTTGTTTGTGGTGTAAGTGTGGAGACCAAAGGTCAACGCTGTGCAAATTTCTTTATTCCACTCCATCTTGGTTTCTTTCTTTTGAGACTGGGTCTCTCAAAGAATCTCCAGCTCTCCATTAGACTAGGTGGCTGGCTGGCAAGGACACAATCCTGTCACCAACACTAGCATTAGAGTCATGGAGACAAAAAAGATCTGAACTCAAGAGCCTCAGTCGCATAAAAAGTACTCTACCCAGGGGTCATCTGACAGCCCGTGGATTTTGCTTTTCTTCCAGTATTTACAGAAAACTGTACTTGGTTTTGAGGAAAGTTATATCCTAAAGATTGGAATTTACTGTTTTCATTTTCATATTTAAATATTTTAAACATAAACCTTAGGTGAAATCTAGAGTTTATTAAACTATGTATCTTGCTTGCAATTGTCAAGTAGGTTTTAAAAAATACACTGAAAGGGAACTCTAAGGCCTATTTACAAGAAGCTGAATATACAAAACTATGAGAGTCACATACCCTTGCAATCGTTTCAAATAATTCCTTAAAGTAACTGGCTCTCTCTTTACTAATCTGTTTGCTTCCACGATGAGCTTGTTCTATCCAAAACTGGAACTCATCACTTGGTGTGAGAATACCTAAAAAAAGTTAAGAAAAAAAAAGTCAGCTAATAATGGAAAGAGAAAGGGAGTAACACTGCTTGGTTCATTTGAGTTGGGTTTGTTCCAGCAGATGGACAGAAAAAGACCTTAGAACTCCTATGAGCAGTAAATTCTCACTTAAGTCTGTTAGAAACACTAACTGCCCCTAATTTGCAGTTCAGGTCCAACTTGCTGAGTCTGAAGTTGGGTGATTCCTACCTCCTTTTGTAAAGCATTCTTAATGGACTGTCATTCAGTCTGTAAATTTGGTCCAACACAATGACCCCTAAATCTGACACTAATATCATCCTTGCTTGTAAATTCCATCAAATGAAAAGAATTATAATCAATGAGTGTTTTCAACTTAATTTGAAAGTATAAGCAAAAGAGTTTTATTGTTAAATTCTCTTTTAAATATCCTAATGAACTAGATAATTTCTGTGCTTAGTCATATACTGAGTACTATTTCTTAGAGTTAAGTTTTAAAAAGCATCTACTTGATTGAGCAAAATGCCATTTGTACTTCCAAGATTTTTAAATATTATTTGCATGTTATACATTTCATTTTAGTAGGAATTTATCTATTCCCACAATATAATTATAAATAGTATCAAATAAAATATATTTCCTATTATCATCATATGAATTATAAGATATACATAGGCTATTATTCCAGGCAACCCATCTTCATTATTCCCACATTCTGTGGGAAGGCATTAAGATCCAAGACATCTGAACATGTGTTCCAAGGTGAAGTCAAAGCCACTCTTTACTCACTAGTTTCCTTTCTTGTGTTGTAAACAATATCCTTTCTGTGCTCCGTTTGGTGCCATAGTTTTTCCATGCTTACACTTTAAACTAGTTTTAAAGCACAGTGCCAAGAATACAAGCACAAGACAGCTTGATGCTCGTCACAGAGAAAGTGCTGGTCAGGTGAGTCATTCAAGGCACCGGTTAGAGGATAACTACTGTACTTTCAATTTCTATAAATGATCCAGTGCCAAAAGGAAAATTTTCTTCTCGAAACCCATAAAATCTATTCATTCTTTAAAAGCTTATATTCATAGAAAACCCAAAAACACAGAAAAAATTTGCAAAGAAATATAGCTATTTGCTAATGTATTAGTGAAATGATCGCTTTGAGTTCACTGCAGAAGGTGTCCTAGTTAAGATTACTACTACTGTAAATGAAACACCATGACCAAAGCAACTTGAGAATGAAAGGGTTTCTTTGGTTCATTATGAAATCAGGATAGGAACTGGAACAGGACAGGAGCTGATGCAGAGGCCATGGAGGAGTGCTGTTTTACTGGTCTACTCCCCATGGGTGTTCAACCTGCTTCCTTAAAGAACCCAAGACCACCACCTCAGGGATGGCACTATCAATGATGGGCTGGGCCCTCCCCCTCCCCCATCAGTTACTAACTAAAATGGCTTGGCTACAGCCTAATCTTATGGAGGAATTTTCTCAATTGAGGGTTCCTACTCTCGGATTGATTAAAAAATTATTTTGAGAGCCACAAATATGGGTCCAATGGTAAAAAGGTGCTTGTCATTTTTGACAACCTGAGTTTGATCCCAGGATTTCAAAAGCTGCAAGGAGAATCATGACTCTCACAAATTGTCCTTTGACCTCTACAAGTGTGCTATGGCATGCACACACACGCACATGCTGAGCTCTGGAAGTAAACTATCATGTATGGCCATGTACCTCTCGTATCGTCTTCCTTAAGTTTCAGCTTCGGTAAGTTAGTATCTGATTTTCGTAGGACTACACCCAATCCAGCTTCTAGTTCACTCAGAAGATTCTGAAGTTTAGGATCAAAGTTTCTACTCCATTCCTGGTCCTAAATAAGAAACAGGTAAGAGTGGCCATTGGTCAAAGCATTGCCAGTCAAGCTTGCTTCAGTCTAGAAACTAAATCCACAAATCTCTACTTCATTGAAAGTCTGCTTCAACTTCCATTTCAACAGTTAACACTTTCTAGAAGTCATTTAGTACAGCTCTTTGAGAGCTGATATAAGTTGCATTTCATAGCTTTATCCATAATTCTTCAACAAAGCTTAAAGTAACATTAGAAGCTTGACACTACCACCAACATCATAATTTTTTTCAATAAATAAACTAAAATACATTAAACAGTAAATACAATAATATGTATATCTGTTTCTTTATTGACTAAATACACATATAAATCCACAAGCATTGCACTCACCTTTAGCAACATGGGTGCAAACACATGCCGTACAGCTTGGTAAAGGGAGTTGATAGGCGATTCCAGCATAGAAGAAACAAGAATGTTGTTATGCAAATTGCCATCTGTAATTACTTCTGGTCGGAGCTTGAAAAACACCAGCACTTTGTCTTTTGTGTCATCAAAATCAATCTAAAGTGATAAAACAAAAGATCTTATGTCTTCTTCATAAAACTTAAAATTTGAAAGAAAGAAATGTTGCATTGACATGTTGTATTACTACAGTCATACCTGCTTGGACAAAACTAGTTAAAGATAACATATTCAAACCAATCACTTCTGCTTCTCAATGACTGCCTGGTTAAAAACTAATTCCTGCTTAACATGTGATTATCATAAAGCTCCACTAGTAAGGCTATGTATTGTTGACACTCCATGCTAACTTTTCTACTGAGTCAATACTACAGATCAAGGCTGAATTCCCCTCATACACGATGGTATGTACTTCCCTACTGCCCCAAGGGGTGTGTGTGTGTATGTGTGTATACATACATACATACATACAAACCTTGTCACCTATGGGGGGAAAAAAGCATTTTAAATTTTTAAACGTGCCTTTAAATTTTCACATGTATTTAAAACTGCCAAAATGAATGAGCCTATCTCCTAAGATTACCTTTCCTGTATCCAAAATTGTTTGTAGAGTTTGAACATCAACTTAGTATTTGAAATAGTACACATCCTGGATTTGCTGTACATGCCTGTTATCTCAGCACTGGGGAGGATAAGACCAAAGGATGACATGGTCAACAACAATCTGGACTAAGAAGCTAAACTGTTCCAAACATAAATAATTAACCAAAAGGTAAAATAAGCTGATCTCACAGGAACGTACTACTAAATCAAAGCTAAGGATGTCAACTAATAGAAATCAATTTATTAGCCAAAAAGTATAATGTTCAAAAGATTTTTTCCTTTTTCCAGAAAGACAATAAAGGCTTATGAACTTTACTCTCCTTACAGATGTTTTATGCCACTTTTATCCTAATTTTTAAAATAATTTGTCACCAGAAAGAGGCAGACATTTTACTGTTAAATTGTCAACTTTTAAGGGGATGAAAATTATGTGGAATTCAAGGACTAGGGTTTATCAAGTTTAAAAACACAAGTATACTCAGTTATGTAGCATATTAGTTGTGTTCACACTACACTGGCCAAGCTGTTCAAAGAAAGCGGAGAATAAAGATGCCTTAAAGTAAACAGTTATGCAGTCAAATCGCTAAAGGCTCAGAGTTGAAGGCCAGCCTGGAAGAGCCAGACTGTCTGAAAAGAGCTGAGGTGCCTACCTTTCCTATTCAGATGTGTGGACAGGGAAACTCCTACTATCTGGTGGGCACTCCACCACCAAGTCAGGAACAGGTTGAGCCCAAGGGCTTCCTGAGCAAGGCTGTGATGTCTTTAAGCCTAACATGAGGACCTGGGGCCTGAGGGAAGGGAGACAAGGCTGGATCTGGGCATGCGGGGCAGGGGAGGCCGCCGCCATCGCCTCACCGTGTTGGAAAAGGCCAGCCCAGCGTCGGACCGCTGCACCCGAAGTAGCATCTGGTTCCCGTCGTCCAAGAAGTTGTTCACCTCCGGGCAGTTGCTCAGCGGGGCCTGGTCCCAGAGCTCCGGTCTCAGCCCGAAGTAATTCTGGGTGGTCGTAAAAAGAAAGAGTTTGCGGACATCCCCGAGGTTTCCCGCCATGGCCGCAGAGACTGAGAGGGACCTGGAGAGGCTCAGTGGCCTCACCAATGCACTCGGTCCGTTGCAGCCGCTTGTCGCTATGGCGACCACTTCACGCTGACTGATTGCGCACCGGAAGTAGGACGCCTGGGGCCGGCTAGCAAGGCTGAGGATTCCTGCGCTCATCGATTGAATGTGCTGCGAGTTCCTTCTATCCGTGCATCTTTCCTTCTAATGCTGAGCTAGTGTTTCCACTGCATGTGCAAACCACAATCAAGTAGCAGGGTCAACATCTGTGAAATGGGGAGTTAAGAGTTCACAACTAAGTTGCAGTGAGGCTTTAAAAAAAGATTATTACTATTTTAAAAAATCATCATTTATCCATGCATGATGGTCTACGACTGTAGCCAGAGTATCCAGGATACCGAAACAGAAGAATCCTGGGAGTTGGAGGGCAACCTTGGGTACATAAGGACACCTTGTCTCACAGTCAATGGGGCTGGAGAGGTACATCAGCAATTAAGGGTGCTTTTTGCTCTCTTTAGTTTCTGGCATATACATGGTTTCCTCTCTGAACGCTTCGCCCTCTTCTGAACTCTGTCCATACACACAAGCAGGCAAAACACTCATACACATAAAATAAATACATATAAAGTAAATAAATCAAAAACAAGCAGGCAAATACTTGTTAGAAAGTTCTGTATTACTTTACTCTTTCCAACTCTATCTGCTCCTCCCAGAGTAGCTTAATTTACACTGTTGGGTTTTGTCTTTGTTGGTTTTAGTAATTTTAGTAAAACTTTAACAGTCATATGTTACCATTTGTCAGATGTTTCTAGGTTCTTGGTTTTTTTATCCAAAGAAGTTAAAATAAGAATGCCCAAAGAAAGATCCACAAAAGCAGCAAAGTATAAGACTGATAACACTATTAACACTGCCACTGGGCCACAATTCTGAGGACACTCATAGATTGTTCTTTAGGGCTTCTTTGTATGGGGTTTAATAGAAGGAGTTTATTTATTAAGGTACATGTTTTGGCTTGATTTCTATTTTGATTAGTATATTCAGTCATCGTTATTTTCCAAGGCATCTCCCTTCCTACAATGCATCAGATTCTAATCATATGCATGCCCAATTGCATAGGCAGAGGAATGTAAATAGGAGATTCTTCCTAAACATTACTGGACATACCAAAACCGGCTCAAGCTAGTTAGGCCCTCTATTCTTTGTACCTGGATATATTGGGAGTCTGTTTGAATGGAAACTGCCTGTATGATATTTTAGAAGAGCACAAACTTACCTTTTTCCAGGGAGGGGTGTATGTGTAGCCAGATGCAGGCGCAAGTCTGAGGTTGCTAGGAGCATTATTAGAGACTGGGGTATGGGCATGCACGGTACATGCTGGTAAAGGAACTGAGCTGTCAACTTCGTTATTGGGGAGAATAGGGGATGAAGATGTATAATACATTCCAAGTGCAGGGATACTAAACTATTTCTTGTGTTTGCCTCAACTACCCTATCACAGCAATATTTTTAATGACTTACTTATATTTCGTGTGCATTGGTGTTTTGCCTGTGTGCATGACTATGTAAGTTTGTCAGAGCCCCTGAAACTGGAGGTACAGAGAGCTGTGAGCTGCCATGTAGGTGCTGAGAATCAAATCTGGGTTGTCTAGAAGAGCAGTCAGTGGTCTTAACTGCTGAGTCAACTCTCTAGCCCCTGCAAATTTCTAAAAAGCCAAAATAAACAATATGATGGATTCGTTTAATAGTAAGTAAAGACACCGAGCAAAACCAAGATGAGGACAACAGGCTTCATCGTTTGCCTCATTGGAAACTACTAAACTGATCGCTACTCCCAAAATCCATCAAAGAATCAACTCAGTAAGTCTCATGCAAAAAATGGTGACCACTTCACACCGACTGAGCGCACACCGGAAGTAAGATATCTGCCTACCTCCCCACCCACCACCCACCCTGGCCCGAAGCAAGGCTGAGGATTCCTGCGCTCATCGATTGGATGTACTGGGAGCTTCTATTGTGCAGCTTTCCTTCTGATGCTGAGCTCGTGTTTCCTCTGCATGTGCAAACGACAGTCAAGTAGCATGTTTAGCCTCTGCACTGATTTAAGCTGCCATTCTAAAATACATTAAAATAATAGTTTTGGGCTTTTTGTTGTTTTTGGTTTTGTATGTGTTGTTTCTACATTTTCACTCAATAATCATAGTGTCTCCTAAACTATAGTCTTTCAGAATTGGAAAAACAACCCTTTTGTCTCTGAGAACCTTAAGATCTGAGAGTAGGAAAAGAGGAAGTTCAACTGTTCTCAATTATAAAAGTAAATAAATGCAAATGCTTGCAAAGCATCCAGAAAATGTTAGACAGGGTTCTGGCCATTGAATGGGCAGCCCACTAGGTTAAGGATGATCCAAACAGGACTCCATGTTGTTACTGAGCTGGGTGTGGTGGTGGCTGACCGCAGTAATCTTAGTACTTAGGAGGTTTAATTAGGATAACTGAATTTGTTTGAGGCTGGCCTAAGTTAAACATTAAGTTCCAGAGCAACTTGCACAGAGTGAGGCCATGTCTCAAAATGAGAAACAAAATAACAAAAAAAGATTTTTTTAAAAAGCTGACTATGCTTCTCCCCACAGGTCTGCATACCCCTTTCCCATGTTTTATTGATCAGGCATGTCACATGACCATGTCCACTTGTAAATGGACAGGGAATCACACTTTGTTTATGAAATGAGGAAAGCTATAGCTCATGTGAGGCATCCTAATAACTGCTACACCTTCTGATGTCTTTCAGATTAAAGAGGAAAGGTCTTCATGGAGTGGGCAAATGAAGCCCTCTGTTTTTCTGCCACAGAACCACGGATATTCCAGACAGTAGCTTCTCTGAAAGGAAAGAGCCCCCAGAAGTCCTCTGACAGTCACTGGGAGCAAGAAAAGTGTTTTCTTAGGCTACTCAACTTTTAGCTGCTTTGCTGCTCTGGTATAAACTGCTGCCACTTATTCAGCCAGAGTACCCACCCAGCACAATGCCTTTTGCCTAAAGCCATTTTGTAGGAGGAGCTAAGATGGGAGGAGTTAGGAGAGGAAGAGAAAAAGGAAGAGGAGGAGCTGGGGACTGCAGAGACGTAGGCAGATAGAAAGCCACACAGGTATGGAGAGCGGTGCGGGTAACTACTTTTATTTAGGTTAGCTAATTGGGAAACAACTCTCTGTATGGGCATATTGTTATTGAGCTTTACCAAACATATAAAGCCTTTGATTAATCTATAAGAATTAGAGTCTCATTCTCTTACTGGGCCCGCATGGATGGTGGAATGGTCTGGGCACTCCCCTGCCTTGCAGAGACAGCGTGGAAGATTGGCAGAGCCATCTCTCACGCTGGTGTCTGATGGGTGGCAGGGCTGGTGTTTTTGGTGGGCTGGTTCTAGCTACTGCGCACACATGGCCTTCAGCCGGGAAACTTGGCAGCTGAGCTAGGCTAAGCCTGAGGCCGTTTTAAATACCACAACACCATTTCACTAACTCATGTGAATTATCAGGCTCTAGTGACGTGGGTGTAAAGTTCCACAGTGCTGCCTTAAAGAATTCTTGAACATACACCAACTTTCTGCAAAACACTTTTCTAGATAAAGGCTTGATTTTAATTGTGCTTTTTAAGATAATGAAGTATGCTGGCGGAAATACTGTTGGGCTAGTAAGATGTTTTGGTGCTCCTACCAGAGTCCCGGGAACTCACAGTGGAAAGGGAGAATTAACCCCTACACATTCTTTTTTCCATGCCTTTACATACACACACACAACCACAACATATATTGTGCTTTTAGCTGAAGATTTCAAAATATATAAGTCAGTTTCCTTCTCCGATGCTGCTAAATATACTTTGGGAGACCTCAACAGTAGTTACTTTTAACTACATGCATGGTATAGTTTATAGTCATCAATGTAAAGTGCCAAATCTTCTTTATACTGTACCAAATATTAATAAAAATATTCACAAAGTGGTTATTTTGGGTATTTCTAGTTTCATTTTTATTTATGCATAATTACCATTGAATAACACCCAACCAAATTAGAGCACTCTGCTTCATAGCTAGCATCTTTTTTGGGAAAATTATGTGATAAAATAACTGTCTGACATCACACCCTATTGCTATGAAAATAGAACATCAAAATATTGTCTGTGTCAACTTACTCATTCAGGTAGCTAAGAATATATTTAAAGGAAAAGAGGCTATTTCAATCATCACTTCTCAGCCATCAGCTTGGCATCTTTCATTACTGAAATGCTTAATCTAGTCGCAAATTTGAGATTTTACAATGTTAGGAAATATGTTCACTGAACCTACTGCAACACATTTAGCGTTCCTGTAAGCAATCTGGCTCTGCTCCTCTTGGTTTCATGCTGAATGTGCTGACCCAATGGTTGACTGATGTGCAAGACCTACCTTTCTAACCAAGGTCTCAAATTCAGAATCTTAGGAGCTATAAACTTTCCAAAAATATACAATTCTTGCCACTTTCTTCCTGTGCTTCACTGTTTTATAAATTTCATTTTTTCTAATGTTCACAAGATCTTTAAAAATGACATTAGATTTTTCATTGGCCAGTGAGATAGCTCAGCAGGTAAAGGTGCTTGCCACCAAGACTGCCAACCTGTGTTAAATTCCTAGAACTCACATGGTAGGAAAGCTGGAAAGAACCAACTCCCCCACACTGCCTTCTGATCTCCACACACATGCCATGGCACACAAATAAATAATGTATAAGTTTTTAAATGAAGTAAAAATTTATGTTTTGAGAAAAACTATAATAATTAAAATCATCATTCCCAAACCATTTCTCTGATTATTACTCCATTACATTAGTATAGTTTATTCATGGAATTAGTGAGCCAATATGGGTTTGGTGGTAGTAGTGGTAGTGGTAAAAAGACTCCTGTTTTGTTTTGATATTTGAGTCAGTCTAATGGGTGACTTTTCCTGGGGAGATATGAACAAAAGTCCATAAACCTGAGTAAGGCACTGATTAACAGACTGAAGAACCAAATCCATCTTGGTGAACCAATAATGGATGATGAGTCACTTGCAGAAACAAAGGTGACTCAATGGCATTGGTGATGGCTTCCAAAAGCTGTATCCTTGGAGCTCCTGAACAACTTGCACAGTCCCTGGAAGTCTTCTGATCTTCTAAGTTTCTCATTCGCTTTCCCCCCCTCCCTCCTTGGGGAAAAAAAAACAGCTTATACAACAGGGTCTCACAAAGTATCACTGGCTGGCTTTAAGCTTCAGTCTCCCTTCTCCATTTCCCAAGAACCGGGATCATAGATGTGGACCACCACAGCTGTTTTAGAAGCCATTGAGAGGAAAAGGTGAGGTTCTTTAACATGAAGACTTGTGAGAAACTACAACTGACCTTGGAAATTTCTATCTGGCAGAGAGCCGGTTTAAGAAGCAAGCAGTTACTATGTCCTATGAATTGAAACACTTCCTCAACTGAGGAAGAATGAGACTTACAAGTCCCAGGAAGCCCAGGAAAGTTACCAGACTCACAAGCTTCTCCCAGGCTAGGTAGGAAGTCCACAGCTGCTGGGGGGAAGTGGCTCTTGCAGAGCTGTCTGCAGGGAAAGCAGCTGTGGTGCAGAGGCCTTTCAGTCACCTATGTTCTGTAAGTGACTCCAATAAACCCTTCAGCTCATTAAGCTAGACTTGGGTGGAATTGTGTCTTTGATCTGTCATTTGTGTCCCATCTGGGGTGAAAAGATGATTGCCTATGGCTTCCAAGGAAGTCACATACCACCACTCCTGAGTTTTTTCCTTACTGTCTCATTAGACCTGTTCTTATTTTGTTTGTTTGTTTGTTTGTTTAGGGTTTCTCTGTGTAGCCCTGGCTGTCCTGAAACTCACTCTGTAGACCAGGCTGGCCTCGAACTCAGAAATCTGCCTGCCTCTGCCTCCCAAGTGCTGGGACTAAAGGCATGCGCCACCACTGCCCAGCTAGACCTGTTCTATGAACAAATATTTCTCAACACCTTGAGTAAAATTCAGTAAAATATGATATTGCAGCAGTGCCCCTCTCTGCCTGGTTCTATATAATACATTTCCTCTCTAGGGACCTCAGGTAGTTTTTGGACTTGAACAGGAATGATATCAATTCAGGAAAAAACCTTTAACCACCAGCATGGGATTCATGTTATCATTTCATAGGTATCACTGTGATGATGATAATCAATGTCATTCTGGGCCTCACAAAAATCCAGTCACAAGGCCACCAATGGACGTGGTCCAGCACACTGCTACAAGATGAGTAGAGCAAGGAGCGTGTGCTACCTAGTGTGTATCTCTGCATCACTCTTCAACATTAGTTCTTGAGTGCTTCCTTGAAATGTCAAAAACAAAGTCCTGATTTGACATCTCATTCTCTGGGTTTATGGTTATGGAAATATCTCATAAATTTTTGACTTATGGTGTTCGAAAAAACAACAGTAACTTTTGGAAAGGAGAACAAAGGTATGGATTCAGTTCCACAATCACATGGGCAACCCGTAAATCTTTTTGTGCCTGCAGTGCTTACTTGTTTTTGACAAGTGTGAAAAAGTCCTATTTTTAAAGCTGTAAGGAAAATATGTATATTATTGAATATATGTTATATTTAATATATATACTATATACATATAATTAGCACATCTCTGGCACTATTTCCGGCTACATTAATTCAGATATAACTATATTAAAAGTTCTTTTTTCCATTTCTTCATTCTACAATCCCTAAACCTAAGAAATAAGCAAATCATCAAACTGTCAAATGAATGGCAGACCTGTTTCTGCCTTTTGTGCTTAATCTGTATATATGTTATGCCACTGTACTAACTATAATGCATCTTTGAGTTTTTTCACAAAGTTGCTGAGTATCTTAGGATCTAAACCAGAATACCCTTCTACTTTAATACTACTTCGTTTCCTTCTTGTTACTTAATAAAAGAAAATTAGACCACATCACAAAGAACTGCAGCACTGTCAAGGCTTCTCATTATACTGTTCGGTGAAAATCAAGAACTATCACAAGCAGCAGAAAATATGGAAAAAACGAACTTTCAAGTTGTCACCCAGCACTGGCACACAAGTGCCCCCACAATATATATATTTTAAAGCCTTCATCTTACAGTTGTCTACTTTCTGTAGAGAGTTGTTTTAGATCTTAGATTTTGTAATTTTCATATAAAAACAATGCTTCAATGCATTGTTTATAATAGAGTTGAATGGATTATAGGTTTGAACATTATTTTCACTGATAAAAAAATTAACTATATGCACCAAACACTGAATGTCCTCACTGACAAAACCTGTGAATTCCAGGGCATCTTGTGTATCTGAGACTCATTACAACAACCGTTTTTTCTGTCTTGACTCTGACTAGATTAGGGTCCCACGATGGTGTCACAGAACTACAGGGACAGAATTTAAAGAAACTTAGTCTTCTGTCACAGTTGGCTTACAGACACGAACTTCATTCACTAAGAATCTTCTAGGAGATAACTATACATGCCATACCCTTCTCATAAACAATATGTCCATTAGAAGTCACATGATTACTGTGTCTTGAGAGCAGCCCATTAGAACGGTTCCCCAAACCCTCTGCAGCAAGTCAGTCAGTTTTCCAGTCTCTTATCCAAGAGGAGAGTTCCACAGAAGTTTTCATGGAGGCCTTGCCTCAGCACAGGAGGAAGCTGGAACTGAGCATGAGGGAGAAAAGGACAAGGAGCACGAGAAGCTGATCTCAGGTCCACCAAGAACACCCGAAGGCCTGGAGTGTGCTCACGTCAGGAGTGGGCACACTCACGCGTGGCTGCTCACCATATTACTTCGCTAGCCAGCTGTGGCGTGTTCATGATTTTTATAAAGGACTTCCCGCTGGAAACCCGCCCGAAAAACTCGGGAGACTCAGGCTCCACCTGCAGAGCAAATCCTAAAGTCCCGAAGGCAGGGAGCCCGCTCTGGCCCGTCAAGCTTCCTTGCTGCGTCACTTCCGGTCGAGAGCCATCCGCTTCCGGGTCAGGCTGAGCCGCCTGCTCTTCTCGAGTACTGTAGGTGCCGCGCTGTCGGCGTTCGCTGCCCCTGGAAAAGCCCGAGCTGCGATACCGCCGGGCTTAGCACTGCGCTGCCCCGAACCGCCGCTAAAGAGGAGACCCGGGGCGGGGTCGAGCCTCGGGACTCCGCAGCGGTCCCTGACAGGCGGGAGCCGGCGCTGCGGGGCCTGCGGCGGAGCGCGATACCCCTCCCCGGCCGCCCTGTCCACCTTGCCGGGGAAGGCGGAAGATGCCAGTGAAGAAGAAGAGAAAAGCTCCCGGAGTGGCAGCGGCAGTCGCGGAAGACGCGGGCCTCAAAAAGTGTAAAATCTCCAGGTACCGCTTGCCCCCACCCCGCAGGCTCTCTCCTTCCCCCGGTGCGGGACAGGCCGCCGGCCGCTAGCCGTGACGAGAAGGGCGAACCCTTTCGGGCGAGGCGGTCGGTGAGGCACCCAGTCTCCGCTCCGCGCGGGACCGACCCTCGTGTTCGCCTGTGTGCTCTGGTGTACTTGGACAAGCTCTGAGATTCGTCCCACTTTGTTGTCTGCGTGCCCAGAGGGTAGGAAACTGACGACCATACGTATGCCTTCTCCATGCTATTTCCCAACCGAGAAGTGAGTGCGGATTTGCCAAGATTCACGGCGTCCCTATGTCTCAGTAAATCAAGCAGAATTGGCTTGGCCCACACATTGTTAAATGTCAGAGTGTGAAGAAAGGAGCAGAGCTTGAAGAGTTTTGACAGCTGCCTTGGGAATGGTAGAAAGGAAGCCTATGCTATAATTGGTTTCCTGAGTTAGCAACCTGGACGATCCCAGCAGGAGGCCTTTTAAATCGCTGGAGCCTTGGCTTCTAGAAGCACTATGCCTCCACTTCACCTGTACCAATTCCTTACACAGAGTTGGAAAAGGTCCTTGTGGTTTTTGTTTTCTAGCATTAAGACTCGGGTTGCTCGCAATCCCTTTTAGCAGGCTATTGTGCTCTAGTGTTCTCTTAGGGGAAAAGAAAACAAAGCAGAACGGTAGTTAGAGCCCTTTACTCCCTTTGTGGCATACATTCAATCATCACAGAATCATTATTACTCGGAAAATCATTGCAATTTAGCTTTGAGAAGTGGGCTTCCTCCCATACACTTTGGGTTGTTTTTGTGTTAATGGTTGATACTTAAAGTGACAAATTAAGATGCTACCATTAAAACAAGACAGCCAGCACTACACAAAGGAGATCTCCCTTTAAGGAGAGATGCACTGCCTAAAATGTGAAGGAGGCGACTTGTTTCATCCTAATCTTTTTGTAATCGAGTACTTTCTTTCTCCCCCCCCCCCCCCCCCCCCCCCCCCCCGTGTGTTTTAGCCAAAGAGTCTAGCTAGTATTTCATTTTGCCCTTTGGTGATTAACATTTTGCTTGACTTTTATTATTTATTAGCCCTTGGAGAATCATATCTGAGATATTTAAATGAAGCCAGTTAAAACATCTGACTGGGCAGTATCATTAGACTTCAGGTGATTCAGCCTAAATTATAACAGGGATTTTCATACGAATCAGTAGCAGAATGGAAGTAAGGCTAGGCATTCGATAAGGTGTGTATATAGCTTGGTGGAGAGCAAGCGTGAGTGGTTTAGGGAGAAAGGTATATCTTTTCTTGTCTAGTCTTGGGTTGAGACGTAGACTACACTTCTTTATTATCTGGAAATCTAAGGAAATAATGTTAGTTACTATTTTTGGAATCCGGTAGCAAGAAAAATAGCATTTGGATTTCATTAGTTATAAATTCTTACACATAGAGTACAGGTCCTTATTGCTAATACATAACTCCTTTCCCCATAATGCTAACTTAAAACCCACTTTGTTTCATTTACATGGAAGCAATTCTTGTTGAGGCTACTTTTTCTCTAAGAGTTTAGGCTTAGTGAGTCTCAGACATTTGTGTGTTTTCTAAGCTATTGCAGATCCCAGCCTCCTGCTAGACTCATCAGTGGAGAGGAAGATTTTTCAAGAAAGAAGTGCCTGGCTTGGTTTTATGAGTATGCAGGTAATGAAATTCATGGAACAAGATACCAGTTGTGTGGGTTTAAAAGCTGTGTTTTATTGTTTATTGCTGTCGTGTTATATGTACTGGGATTTTAGGGTCAAGGCTAAAGGATTATGGATTGGGTTAGAATTTAGTGCCATGAACATGTCTGACAACTTTTCTTCCTTAGAACAGTTCTAGTCTTTTGATACTTAAGCTAATCTCTTACCCGCTTTCCTACTTTAATTGTGTGTGTGTGTGTTTCTTCTTTTATCATTATTATTCTCAGAAGTATTTGCTTAAAGCTAAGACACATAGTCGTTATTGCCTTATATTTGTACTAGCCTGGTATGGTTTGAAGTGGTGGCATCTTAACTCGTCAAGTTTCAGCTAACTTGGTATGGAAGGCTAGACTAGGTTGAAAAGAGGGCAGCAACTTTGCTATTGGGATTAGCAGAGTGATCTTTCTAGATCAGGAGAAATAAATGCTATTACTGGTATCCCAAGACAACCACTAACCCAAATTAAATATAGAGAATTTTTTTTCTTCTGACCTCTATTTAAAATGTTGACCCATTATTAAAAATGCCAGTTTTACAGATACACTATATAGAGTCAAAAGGTTTTCATCTTATTTCACTTTACAAATATACTTAATATTTTTCCTTGAATGCTTGATTCTATTAGCTTTTATTAGAACTTCCCTGGGTATTTTAAGATTGAATTAAATATTTCTTTTCTACTCTTGACATTTTTAACAGTCAACATGATAATTGCTATCATTGTTCCATGGGTTATGATAAGTATATCCTTGTAGCCATCTATCAAGAGATGTCATCCTCATTTTATGAGTGAAAACTGAAGCTTAGATTAACACTAGAGTAATGATGCAGTTGACTATGAAAATGTTAACTGATTGTCACTTCTACTGAAAAATGCTAGTAAAGTACACTTGAAGTTGTCGTCTGTCATTCAGTGAATCATTTGATGAATATTTATGGAATACTTTTCTGTGACTCCAACACTGTGCTAGTACATGGGATATAATAACAAAAATCAGGACATGATCCCTGCCTTCAAATGTGGCTTCTGTGAGGGAGACTATAATGTAAACAGCATGTGTATAGGCATAGAAATTATAGCTTATGAAGGTTCATATGGGTAAGATGTGGAAGTGCTAGAAATTTAGACACAGGAAGTATCTACAGGGACTATTTCAGCAGGAATCTCCTTGATAAGGGATCAGTCATTGCTGAATGAACAATAAATGTTCTTTCTCACCAAATGAGGATATCTTTTGTAATGGAGACAAAAAGCTAGGCCTACTCAGTGGATGATGCATGCAAAGAATTAGCATAATGCATGATACGGGATGGGGTTAGAACTCAATAATGTTCGGTATTACTATTAATAGTCTTCGAATATCTTCAGATATACTGCTTATAAGTGCATGTGTATGTTTTCCAAAATCAGTCTCTTGTATAGCTCATTTTGAAGCTACTGTCACTAAGCACTTTGTTTGTTTATCTGTTTTTCTGAGTATTTGTTATGCCATTGTATTAAACCCTGAACATGTGCAGCCCTGGCTTTCCTGTAGACCAGGCTAGCCTCAAACTCGGAAATCTTCCTGACTCTGCCTCCAGAGTACTGGAATTAAAGGTGTATACCCCACCCCACCACAAAGCTCACATTGACTTTGCTGTGACTAAAGATATATGCCACCATGCCTGATTATCTTCCAGATATTTTTAGTGAGCTACTTGTTGTGAATAGATGGGAAAACATAGAAAGTGGAAAAGAACAATTTTAAATCTGGTATAAAGAATAGAAATAAGATTAGAATTACTTAGTCTTAGTGCAGTATAAAGTGAGCTAAATCATTTCCATGACTGACTAAACTGAGTGGAAATCTAAAAGCTTGTAAGAATTAATTCAATTACACACATCTTACCAAGGTTGTAATTTTATGAGAAGGCTCCAGTTTCAAAGTATAAATGACAATCAGGGAGTGAACTTTTTTGGTATAGGCTTCACTTTATACTTATATCTATTATTTCCATTGCTTTGGAAAGTCACTTAACATGTACAGATCTTGTCTCACTAAAAGCATATGTGTATTTTGTATAAAACCTACTTGATTTCTAAACATGTGTTAACATCACCTTACATTCATTTCAGACTGTAAGAATGTATTGATCATATTAGTTTATGATCATAGTCTATGGTTTAAGTCTGTAGGGTTTAGTTTTGTTTTGATCCAGGGTCCTGTATAGATTAGGCTGTCCTTGAATACCTGATCTTCCTGCCTTTACTTCCCAAGTGCTGCTATTATAAACTCATGTCACCTTGACAGTTAAAACTTGAATATTACTTGTTGAAGAAAGGAAAGTAAAAAAAAAATATATACACCATTAAAGGAGGACACAGTCTCAGGAACACTACATGATCTCCCTCACATTCAGAATCTAGATGATGTGTATTTGTAAACAAATGTACATGTAGGGACAGTGAAAGATGTTTAAAAGGAGAAGAAAGGCTAAACTATCAGGAAGATGAGGAAGATGGAATGAAAGAAACTGACTTGAGTTATTGATAGAGGATAGAAACAAAGCTAGTTGTTTGCCTGACTCTGACGCTTGTCCTGGGCTTTTCATTTTCAATGGTGGGTAAGTACATAAAAATAAACCCAGTAGTGAAAGGCTTTTCAAAGCAAAGCCTTCAGGTGCCTTTACAACTGAAAAGTTCATTCAGGCGTGTGGACATTGGGTCTGGTTAATTTCAGTGTCTGATGTCTTTTATTTTCAAGGGTGTTTTTTAACCTTTTTTTTAAAAAAAAAATAAAGTTAAAGTAAAGTTATAATAATAAAGTTAGGTTGGGTGGGTTTTTTTGGAGAATAGAAACATCTTTGTCTTTTGGACAATATTGGAATTGGAACATTGTTTCAAGACATTTTTATAGTGATAAATTTATGTCATATTTCAAATTATAACATTTGTTTTAGGTGATTTCTAAGCACAGAAAAATTAGAAGCAGTACAATTACTCTAATTTTGGAATCTGATAACAAAAGTTTAGGAATTGCACTGACTTTTAGTGATCTGGTTTAAAGAAGAACGATATTTCAACCATCATATGCTTATAGCCTTAATTGTCAAAAACTTTATTCAGAATAAGTTCTTAGTAGGTTTCTGTTATGTTTTGTTAATGAGTAAGTTCATGTTGGCTTGGTTTTGTTCTTTTTGCAAACTACTGAATTATACCAGTGGGATAGTTCTTTAGTGATTCTTTTAAAAAAATTCCCTTAATATAGTGGCTGTGGTAGCTCACACCTTTAACCCAAGCACTCAAAAACAGAAGCAGATGAATTTCTGTAAATTTCAGGCCAGCAAGGGCTATATAGTAAGACCTTACATTTAAAAAAGGAAAAAAAATTAAATTATATTGTAATGTACCATTTAAGGAGTAAAAATTTTTAAATTTTTGGCAAGTAGTTATACTTTTCAAAGCTTTCCTAAAATTTAAATTCACTTATTTGTAAAAGTATGATATTTGCATGGATGCCTTTAGTATAATAGTTTATTTCATGTTCATAATAAGTTGTAATAAAATATATAAATTATTTTTTGTCTTTGAAGGTCCTGATGAAGTTGTAGGGCCAGAAGGAATGGAAAAATTTTGTGAAGACATTGGTGTTGAACCTGAAAATGTATGTTTTATTTCTAAGTAGAATGAAACATAAATGGATTATAATATTTCATTAATTCTACAAATTGAGGCTTTAATATATGAAGTTTTTTCTTCACATCTGTTTTTTTTTTTTAAATCAGCCTAAGTTGGTCAAGGTATTTCTTGGTAGAAATTCAGTTTATAATAGAGTAAGAGTCTATCTTCATAAACACTACCTTAAGACAGTTGTTCTGTAGTTAACAATACATTTAATGTATAGTGGATGGTTAGAAATAATTGTTTGAAATCGTTCTCCATGATGAATGTAGCCATGATTATCTCTGATGACTTTTCCTGTCCCTTATGTTCTGTTCTTTCCAGATTATTATGTTAGTTTTAGCGTGGAAGTTGGAGGCTGAAAGCATGGGATTTTTTACCAAGGAAGAATGGTTAAAGGGAATGACCTCATTACAGTAAGAACATTTTTTTAAAAAACAAATTTGGTGGCTTATGTAAAGATCTTGTTGATATTTTGTACTTCATCATTTTGAGGAGTAAGATTTTACCTTAAAAATAATCAAATTGGTTTGATTTCTAAAAATCTAGGGACTGGAAAAATTTATATTCTTATTTCGACAATTGAATGATTAATTGCCTTTTTCATATTTTTTAAGAAAAAACTCAACCTAATGAAAATGTATTGGTTCATTTGATGGGTGAATAAGAAATGGTCAATGAGTTATTTGTTCAAGAGTGTACTTGAGTAACAGAAGTTTTTCCCCACTCAATTCAGAATTCAACTATATGAAGAATTTCATCATTGAACAGTCCTTAATCTTAGGACCTCCTTGCTCCCCTTTGTAATAAATTTAAAGATAGAGTTACATGGTGCTTCAAATGATCTGTCTCCTCCTAATAACTCACAAAGGACCAAAGTAGAAATTTCCTTTGCCTCCTGTGTAGTCATTAGCCAACTTATAGTTATATATGTTTGGATTGAGATGTCATGCTAGACTCTTTCATAAATTTCAGAATTACTTGATTTTGCAGATAATTCACTTTGCTTTTCCATACTAATGTGTAGTAATTTTATAGTATGTGATGTTCATAATGTTCAATCAGAATGTTATTCAACATTCTCAAATATTTTCCTATTTTAAAGTTCCTCTTTTTCCCATTGCCTGGGATTGACTCCAGGGCTTTACACAGGCTAACATAGTGCTCAACTCTAACTTCAGGTACAGTTTTTTAAAGACCTTTTTCTTTTTTTTTTAATGTACATTGGTGTTTTACCTTCATGTTTTTCTGTGAGGTATGTCAGATTCCCTGGAACTGGAGCTACAGACAGTTGAGAGCTGTCACGTGGGTACTAGGAATTAAACCCTGGTCCTCTGGAAAAGCAGCAGTACTCTTAACTACTGAACCATCTCTTCAAGCCCCTCAGTTAAAAACTTTAAGGCAAACATAATACACTATTAGCCCTGTAATTGATTATGGTTTTATTAACACATACACATTATTTTTAATTCTTGTTTACCTGCCCTTTAGTTCTTAAGAAAGGATGTCTATTTGTTTACATGACAGTGAGTTTATGTATTAGAATTTTCAGTGTCTGTTGTTTATTTCTCTTACTAAACCAACATGTGTGTGTGTGTGTCTGTGTGTTTGAGTATGTACACATGTGTACACAGTCATCTGTTATCATTGTGTAACTGTGATAAAGAGATTTGTTGGAAAGTCAGGTTAGTGGAAAATGAGACACATAAACATTTATTCCTTGGGTAAAGTTTTTCCTCAGATGAACCAAATGATAATTGCTAGAATAAAATTTAAGACCAGTTTTCCCATTTAAATTATAAATAAGGAGTGTGAGATATGTTAACAGTTAATATAATATTACTTGGTAAAGTTCCATAGTTTCTTATGGCAGAGTTAAGATCTAGACCTTTTCTTTTTCTTATATGTGGATTTTTTTTCAATAAAATAGAAGCCATTTAGTTTTATAATATTTTTCAGAGAAGAATGAATTCTACCATTCTAAGGCTTTTTTTTAGACTATTTCTCATCATATAATTAGCTTTTGATAAAATGATTATGTAGACATTCACTGAGTTGTGCAAAGAATATAAACTCTGATATGCCTTATTAGTGGTGAAAATACTTTGATAGTATAGTATGATATTATAGTACTTTTTGTATTACTGGTTTTTTATAGGTTGTTTTTTGGGGAGTTGCAGCTAATAAGTGATTTTGTATTTGTGACCTAAAAAGTTCCTTATTGGGTTTTTTGGCATAGTTCATATAGTACAGAGCTTCTGTATTTCAAAATACTTCACTACAAAATATGTCTTCTATGTTTTTCTTGAATAAATAGTATATGATCTTGAGTACAAGCGTAGGATTTGGTTAGCCTGTGAGCATGATTTTTGTTGTCATTCTCTTACAGAAAGCTTACAGACTGTGCAAAACACTCCTAGAAGTGTGTCATGATACTCAGGTATTATCCCCATGATTCTGATAGAATAAGGCTATGGTCTTAGTACTTGCCTTGGAGAAAGGTGGTTTCCCTTCCCTATGATCTAGACTACCATACAGACAGAGTACATGGTGTCTTCTCCAGTTCGACAAGTTTACCACTTTAATCTTGTGATGAACTTGATAATGGGCAGATAGACAAATGCTAATTAATCTACCTTAGTATAAAAAGAGCAGGTGTCAACATATTTGATTTAACATAATTATAAAACTTTAGTCTCTGTCTTCTGTGAGGTGATGTTATCATTGTAGAATTTAACCTAAGAATCTTACGGCCTTCAAATAAAAATTAATTGTGTATTGAATTGTTTAAACTTAATTTTTAATTCATAAAAATCTTGAGAAGAATATATCGGTGGTAGCAACGCACATGCTGGCCAGGAATATTGAACTAAAATAATCACAATTATCAGTACTATGTAATGATTCCCAATTTTTGGAATACTTTTCTTAAAAACACTTGTTCTTGAGGCTGTTCTATAAATGACTTTTCTATTTGGTGTGGAATAATTTGTCAAGCACAGAGATGTAAAATAACTTCTATTCTCCCTAAGTAATCATTCTCTCTGAGTCTTACTGCCTCAATCTACTAACATAGGCCTAGTTCTGTAAGCTTCTAGCGTCCGTACAATCTAATCTAGGCATAGAATGTTTTCAGCCTCTGGCATGCACTGCTGAATAAGCTCGCCCTTTCTAGTTCTTTCTGAACTCCATTTAGTTGGTCAACTCTGCTCTTCTGGCTCAAACTCCTCTCCAAGCTGACAATTCAATCTAGCTCCTCTCAGCATGCTGCTGAATTGCTCATACTAACTTTGGCAGTCTATTCTAATCTCTGGCTCCTTCTCATTCTCTGGTTCTTGTTGTCTCTGTCTCTCTCTCTCTCTCTCTGTCTCTGTCTGTCTCTCTCCCTCTCCCTCTCCCTCTCCCTCTC